AACTATGCTTGACTTCCTTCAGCTTTACCATGGGACAGTACTATTTTCAAAAAAGATAGAAATTATGTCCTCAATAGACATTATCTACATTAAAGAAAGGAGTCACAGTGTTTCAAACTTCTTGCGAGGAAGATTTCCCATGAGCCCCCTTTTGGAGTTTTTGTTGCACACACACATCACCCCACATTTTCCCAGCAAATGCTTGGGCAATGTATTTGCCTCAGAGCAGTATGAATTCAGGGGTTTCAGCACAGGAGCACCCCAGCCATCATGCCAGGATTATCCCAAGAACACAGTCCCTGGGAGCAGCTCCAAGGATGACAGGCTGGAACCACATCACAGGGTTCAGAGGTGCTCAGAACTGTCTCAGCACAGCAGGGACTGGACCATCATGATGGCAGAGCCTCAAAGGTGTCTTGCTGCCATGAGATCCCACTGAGCTCCTGGCTCACTGAAGATAAACTGGTGAAGACTCACGAGAGTGGCAGGCAAGAATCCACTGCTTTCACCAGGAAAGGCCTGGGGATTGATGACTTTCACCTCATCAGTCCCATGTCCACAGAGCACCTTGACCCAGTTGGGTGGTGAACCATGTAAAGACTGGGAGAGACCTTGAACAGGGCCAGCCTACAGGACCTTAAGTATTTATTTATGTAAGACAGTGCTGATGCCTTTTAGTGCTTTATATCAACCTTGAACTGATCCTCAACCTGCTCTGTGCTAAGCTTCCACCAAAGGACACAGGCCTTGGTTGAAATCCCAGGATGCAGAGACTCAGGGACTCTAGACTGTCTTAGGCACCCACTTCAAGGTCACCCAAGGGCCCTGCAGAAGCCACATTTCAATGTAGCACAGCCATTTCAACAACATTTCAAAAGCACGGCCTTCATGAAGCTGGGAGCTCAGTCATATGGTCATCTTTGCTAAAACCTGGGCTGAAGCCACCCCCACACACCATGCATATCCTCACATTTCAGCCTTTGCTTCAATTTCCAGGAGCTGATAAAGCATCTCCAAAGTGAAGACCAGAAAAAAAAAATCCCATAAGCAAGATCAAGGTACTATTGGCCTTTCCACTGCACTTCAGAGCTCCAGTCAAGAAAACAGTGTCTCTTTTCCTGCTTTATGCTGTAAAACAGTGCCCACAGATACCTCAGATACAACGTTATTTGAGCTGTATCTAAACAAAGCCAAGATCTCTCATTTACTGTCAGGACTTGAATGAAACGAGAAGTTGCTTTCCAGCTCCATCCCACTCCCTCCTTCCCTCGGGAGAGTCTTCTCAGCCTGTAAGGAACTGCTATGCAAGTGCATTAAAAGTCCTATTTCAGCATTTCTTTCATAGTAGAGGCCTCTTCCAGCCAGCTCTTGGGATCCTGCCAACAGACATATCAGCCACTAGTACTTAAATCCTTCCGCTGAAAAATGCCTCCCTAAAGAGCTTGCACCCCAGTTCTGAATCATCACCAAGTAACCAGCTTCAACAAGAGTTTAAGACAGGTTCTTCTCCACTCCCATGGGTTTAAGGGTGAACTACACAGCCTTTTCTCCCCTTGGTGTGGCCTCCACTTAGGAAGGAGCAGCTTCCACACGGTTCCAGTCAGGAAATAAATGTCAGGTGTTAGAAAAGGAAGGGAGAACCAGCTGCTTTGAATGATGCATTCAGGGGATCCAAAAGAACACAGCACTTATCAGACACTTCTGAAATGTCCAGCATCTCTCCATCTTTAAGAGACTGGCTCTGTTGTGTGATGATTTCATCAGCAAATTTCTTAAACTGGGGGAAGGCTCGAGCTTGCATCTGTGCTCCCAGAGTGCCCAGCAAAATAAGAGATTTTAAGTTCTGTCTGTATGAATTAGTTGTCATGGCTGATATTAAGCATAACTCGTTGGAAAAGCTACTCCTGGATTAAGATCATCTCTGAAAAACACAGCTTATGGGGTCTTCATTTATTATCTCCTTGTCAAAATGAATATTTCTAACATGTAAATACACCAGGCATGGGAGAAAGACAAGCCTATTGTAAGTGTCTGACAAAGGATCTAAATGCTCTTCTTGTTTCTGGAGAACAGAAAGCACACACAGAGGTTTTCTTTGCAGACAAAATGTTCTAAAAGCTTTCCCAAGGCAGCAAGCTGGGGGCAGTACTGAAAGCAGCACTTTGGGACACTCCACACGCACTTGTGCTCTACAAGGAATACTGCACTTTGGATCTGAGCTGAGGAACAGGGAGTATCTTCTGCGTGGACTGCTAGGACATGGACGTGCCAAAAGCCAACCCAGGCTTCAGTGCAAAACCTTCTCACCCACGCAGGCAGAGAGTGGTCCCAGCAGAGCCATAAATCTTTACTCTGCTTTTTGCATCCCCGGCCACTCCAGCGCCCTTTGTTTTCAGTGCTTTCTCTTCTGTTTCTCAAAAAGGCGCCTTACTACCCTGGGAAATCCTGTGGCTTTCCATACTTAGCATTTTCAGTGGCTTCCAAGCCTGACCCAACATAGTAGTTATCCATTTGCACAGGCAGAAGAACTGCCTGGATTATTTTAAAAACCCAAACAACAACCAAACAAAACCCCTCAAAGGCAACATGCACCAAACCCCACAAACACTACCCCAATGACAACAATTCAGAACACAAGGGTGGAGGAAATGCAGTCCTTTCCTCTGCCAGGATGCAATAACAACTCCCTTTTTGGTGGTTCAGAAAACAGGGCCAGTACACATTATTGGACCGCACTCCTGCACACCAAGAACCAGCGCTCAGTAAGGTGTCAGCCAACACAGAAAGCAGCTTTTTAATCCACCACCAACACCAGCAGCTCCCCTCACAGTAGCAAATAAAAGCCCTATGGAAATCCCTTTGGTCATCTCTTTATCTTCCCAGATGAGTTCCAGGCTGGAGATGCTCTTCTCCAAAAGTAAGAAACTTAAACAACTACTTAAATGGCAAGAGCAAAGGTGGCTGGGAATAACTCAGGGTCAGGAGCAACTTGCTGACCTGCCTTGGAAATAAGCTGTGCCCAGAATTAAGGGCCCATGTTTAGCACTTAGTCCCTGCACCTGTGAGGAGGCTCCAGTGCAGATCCAGGCAGTAGAAAGCCTCAATTCCCCCATGACCATCACTTTTCCAGCACCAAGCATCAAGACACATGCTTACTGGACATTCAGAAAGCCAAAACCTCTGAAAGTGTCCCAAATACGCCTGGCATGGTTTTACCTCCTAGTTTGCATTTGACACCTTGGGACCACAGCAGCAGCCAGCTCTAACTTCTTGTTCCCTTCCCAAACAACATTCCCCTCTGCCAACTCCCCGTCTAACCCATTAGCGCCCATCATTCCTAGGTACAAGAGCGCGAAGGCAAGAAAGTGTTTTTCTCCCCAGGACAGGTGAATACTCCCACCGATCCCCATCGGGAGTCACAAATGCCACCCTGATAAGCCACAGGCTGCACACAACGGCAGGCGCGCTCCTTCCAGCCGAAGGCGAAGTAAGAGGAAAGCAGGCTATCCAGAGCCGAGAGAGAGAAGAGCGAATATAACACGGGGATTCAGGGTTTTGCCGAAACGAGAACTCTGGCTGTTTGCTCCAGCAGGGCCCGGGCTTCCCCCAAAGAATGTGCTTAGCGTTTCCTCCTCTGTTTTGTGCTGGAGACCGAAGCAGAGCTGAGTTCACTCGGGGGCCCCGTGCTTGGCGGCGGGGCTGCTGCTGCTCCTCCGCCCCACCACTCCCGACCCGCTCGGTCGCTTTTTCAGCAGCTGCCAGGTCCCCTCGGCCCCTCTGCCCCGGGCCGAGCCCCGCTCCGGCAGCGGGCCCGGCCCCTGCGCCCGGCGGGAGCAGCAGCTTCCCCGTCCCGGCGGGAACGCGGCGGTGCCCGGGAGCGCGGGGGGATTGGGCTCGCGGCCCCGCTTTCCCCCTCTGCGGCCGGCATGGAGAAAAGCCAGCTGGGGCGCGGAAGGGAAGAGGGGGTGAGGGATTTTTTTGGAGCGGCACCTCTGCCCGCTCTGCCGAGCTAGTGTCCCCTCGGCGCCTCCCTACCTTCCTCGGCGGCGGCAGCGGAGCGGGGGGACCGTGTCCCAGCATGACGGCGGCGGCGCCCGGCGCCGGGCTGGCGGCTGCGGACCCGCGGCTGGGGGCTCCCGCCCGCCCCCCGCCGCCACCGGCCCCGGCCCCGGCCCCGGCCGCCCTCCGGCGGGAGCGCCGCCCCGTCCCGTCCCGTCCCGTCCCGCCCCGCCCCGCCGCCGAGGCAGCCGCGCCCGCCCCTCGCTCCGTGCGTGGAGAGCCCTTCGCTGCCCGCCCGAGGGAGGGGAGGTGCCCGAGGGAGGCGACGGGCGCTGCCAGTGCCGAGGCCAGCAGGGCAAACCGGAGCTGAGTGAAGAGCTGCCGTTCTGGTTGCAAACGGAAAGATTTCCAGGAAAACGTAGAAAGTCCTGACTTGATACCAACCCAGTACCTGTCACAGGCACGGCCTCCCGAGGCTGATGGGGTCACAGACCCGTGGCGGGAGAGCACCTGGCCAGGAGTGCCTCCAACCTGCAACGCGAGTTGTATCCCCCGGTCTGAGACTGGGTGTTAGGGAAAGGTGCTTCACGCAGGGGGCGGTAAGACACTGGAACAGGCTGCCCAGGGCAGCGGGCACAGCGCCAAGCCACGCAGAGCTCAAGAAGCGTTTGGACAAGGCTCTCACGGTGTGACTCTTGGGGTGTGCTGTGCAGGGCCGGGAGCAGGACTGCACGGTCCCGAGGGGTCCCGCCCAACTCGGGATATTCAGTGTTGCTGTGATTCAAAGCTGATGGAGGGGTGAAGGGCCCCGTCCCCGTGCGGTACAGCCCGATCCGAGGGGACAGCTCGGGCACGCGCCTCCCTCGCGGCACTCGGCTTCCGGCCAGGCTCTCGCTGCGGGCCCTTTAAGGGGCGGGGCGTCGCCGCGCTCTGGGACGCTGATTGGCTGGGCTCGCCCCCTCCCGCCCCTGCCCCCGGTGCGGGCGGCGGGAGCGCGCGCGATGGTGGCCGGCGGCGCCGCGCGGCTGCTCCCGCTGCCGCCGCTCGCGCGCGCCGCCGCGGCCAGGCTCCGGCTGGCGCCGCCCGGGCGGGCGGGCTGCGGGCGCTCCGGGCTGCGCAACGCCCGCTGGGGCGCCCTGGCCTTGGCCGTGCCCGCGGCCGTGCCCGCCGGGACCGCCTGGAAGGAGAGGCCGGAGCGGCGCGGCCCGGCGTGGGCGGCGGAGCGCGGAGCGGAGCGGCCGCCACGGGGGCTGCTGCGGCGCCTGGGGCTGCTGCTGCGGCTGGGCGTCCGCGCCTGCGGGCTCCTGCTGCGCTTCGGGCCGCTGCTGCTGCTCTACCCGCTGGGCCGCCTGTGGCCCGGCATGGGCGCCCGCTGGCTGCGGCTGCTGCGCAGGGCGGCCGAGGCCGCCGGCCCCACGTGCGTCAAGCTGGGCCAGTGGGCCAGCACCCGCAGGGACCTCTTCTCCGAGGCCTTCTGTGATGAGTTCTCCAAGCTGCACGTCGAGGTGAGCCCGCACCCGTGGGGCCACACTGACGAGCTCTTGAGGAAGGCCTTCGGTGAGGAGTGGATGGGCATCCTCCAGTTCCCGAGCCGGGAGCCGGTCGGCTCGGGCTGCGTTGCCCAGGTGTATAAAGCCTATGCTGACCTCGCTGCCATCGGCGGCTCCCGGGCCGAGCAGCTGGAGCCGCGCTCGGAGCTCAGGTCCGCCTTCCAAGCGTGGGAAGTGTCAGGCTTTAGAGGCCTCCTCGGCTGGCTGAGAAGGAGGAAGAGCAAGGACATACGGGATGAGAGGAGCAGGGAGGAACTGAGTTCTGCGGACTGCTCCCAGGGAAGTCCCGGGAGTGGGATGTCCCTTATGGAGCAGAGGGCCAAGCCACTCCTGAGCACAAGTCCGTCATCAGCCAGACATCTCGTGCCCGTAGCCATTAAAGTAAGTCATGTGCCGAAATGGTAGATGTATGAAAATGGAGCGTGCTGGACGAGGTCCCTCAGATTTTAACTCCCATGGAGAGGAGCAGCTGGCCAGGGCCAGGTGGAGCAAGAAGGAATGTTGTCTCTCTTGGTGTCCTTTCTCAGCACTTTTGTTCCAGCCAGCCACAATCCCCAGTTCTTGCCAAAAGGAGAGCTCGAGATTTGACATGGCATATGGGTACTAGGAATGCCTCCAAGGGTCCAATTTGCATTAAAATAATTAGTATTAAGGTTGGTTGCACCTTCCAGACAGCACACCTCTTCTCTGCTTACATGAAGAAATCTGGAACATAAAAGTGAGTTCCAGCAAAGTTTATTTAAAGAAACCTTGTGTTTGAGCAGCTTCAAATACTGCTCAAATTATTTGAAAAAGTAAGGGACACGGCAAGAGTGAAAGTGGTGCAAAATATCTTTGGGTGAGACTGTAGTCTCCAGCACAGATACACTGAATGTGACAATTATAAAATGTTTCTCTATAACCAAATCAATGACAAAATGTGAATTCTTCTGAGGACTAGCCGAGGGAGCTGGTTGCCTCCCATCCTAATAAGCTGGGTTCTATATATTTGAAATGTATCACTTGAGCTTCTTGAAAGGGAGTGTCTGGGGAGTTGATCTTGCCACTGCTCGTTCTTGTGCAGGTCCTGCACCCTGGGCTGGTCCACCAAGTCCAGATGGATCTGTTTTTCATGAAGATGGGCAGCCGCATCATTGGCCTTCTCCCTGGGTTCAAGTGGCTCAGTTTGACAGAGATTGTGGAGGAGTTTGAGAAGCTTATGATGCAGCAGGTATGTGCCAGGCCGTGATCCCCAGCTAAACAAAACTGCCCTTTGTCTTGCTCTGGCTGGCTCTGTGTTCACACCACTACATTTTAAATGGTTAGATGAAGGCGGGCTTGCTCTTTGCTTCTGTTCTTTAGTCTAATCAAATCACATAACATTACTGCAGGAAAGCTTATACGCTCACAAAGTAGCAAAGCAGTGAAAAAACAGTCTTTATTGGATCTAAAATGATTTTTTAGACTCTGAAAATAATGTTTAGACTTTGAATGTGTTTTCTAGTGGACAGCCTGAACAGCTAGCTAGCCATAGTCACAGTACTTTTCGCAGCATTGTGAAAGGTGAACACTGGGGAGACACCTCTTCTTAGGAAAGAATCTCTCCAAGCAAGTACTCAGGCATGTGGGTTTTTTTCCTATAATTCTACATATATGTTTGCAGTTTGTACTCACTAGTCATGTTTGTTAGCACTGAGATATATAGGCATAAATAATGTTTTCACAGAAGTTAATAACACATTCTACTTTGTATTATTATCAGACTCAAAGTGTCAGTGAAATTTTGCAAACAGATCTGAAAACATACTGATTTGCTAATGTCTTCCAAAGACACAGTCCTGAAACATTGCTATTATCAAACTTACAAAGATCTCACTGCAGGCTTAATTTGGCTTATGTTTCTATAAAATGAGCCATTATCTACTAATTTCATTTTTGTGTCTAGATTGCAGAGTCTGAAGTCTGCAACAAGCTTTTGAAAACCTTAATTATTTTCTACAATTGCAAGACCTCAAAACCAATGCACAGTAAATCCATGATGGTAACTGTTGACTGTGGTCAGATGTGACTCAAGGTCATCATTCATACCAATTTGGCAGAGTTTGGATGGATGTGCAGAAGTCTGAGGGTTAGGAGAACATCTGATAGGGTCATTGAAGTTTTTCCCTTTGAATGAACAGGAATTATTCCTGGGATATTCCCCACTGCCAGACAAGGGAGGTGAGGCAAGGTTATCCTGCCTCCTTGAGCAGTAGCAGACAGTAGGAGAGATGCCCTTGTGTCAAGACACTGGATCACTGAAGAACCAAGCCTGGACTTGGCATAGTGGATTATTTTGTATACATTACATTCAATTTCTTCCTGCTATGGTTGCCTCTCTGTCAAGTGAGGCTGGGGCTGCAGTTCTTCTATCCTGTCTGCCTGCCTTGCTGTTTGGACAGCAAGCTTCCATTCAGGATAGGATTGAGTTTAGGATCTTGTTGTATTTTTGACTATCACATGGTCCTGGTCTATTTTGAGACACCATGCCTCTAGTTAGGCACCCATATTTCAAAGGCTGGGACCTGGCTGTGCACCATTCGTTACCCAGTCTGCTCCTCTTCCATCAGGGAGGCTATGAGGATGTAAAAAGCACCACTCTTTCTTTGTTTCCATTCTGGCTTTCTGACTAATTTTGTTGGTATTGAGTATTGCAACTCACACAGGATCCTGAAGATCTGATCCTAATTGAATCTAATTTCCAACCTGCTTTTCTATTTCTCCCTTGAGATTGACTTGCGCTACGAAGCCAGAAATCTGGAGCGCTTCCGACAGAATTTCCTAGATGTCGATTTTGTGAAGTTTCCCACTCCCCTTTGGCCCTTGGTAACAGCAGATGTTCTAGTGGAAACATTTGAGGTAAGAATTGCAGGGTGTGGGTGTGATGGTAGCAGTGAGAAAGCCCCAAGGAGACCATGGCAAGGAGGTGTTTTTGACCTCCTCCTTTCTTTTTGAGAAGGAGGGGTTGGAGGCAGAAGGATGCTTCTTTCTTTTTTGCTTAAGGAGATCAATGTCCTTCCTTAGTGTCTCTTCCACTCTTTTTGTTTGCAAGCAGTGCATCCCTGAAGACAGGTAGCAGACAACTCCACATAGAAGTGAACAGTTGGCCTGAAAGCAAGCAGACCAGCAGTGGGTGCAGCCACCCTCTGCTTGCCTGTGCTTTGCAACTAGCACCGTGATTTACCTCTCCTCTGTGCTGGGTCAAAGCAAGCAGCTCAGCAATCTGACACTGTCTGCTCCTTGCCTCACTTCCCTTGTGGATGTTGGAGTCACAGACCAAAGCTACTCTCAGGCTTAGTTTTCCTGCATGTGACCTTGGCAAGGGTGTTTCCGTCCCTGGAATCCTGTCTGTCTGTCCAAGGAACCCTTTGTTCTCTCACGTTCTCCATCACACTAGGTACAAGCTCTTTCTGCCAAATCCTTTCTAGGGTATTATCATCAGCTTCCCCCAACTTGTGGCACCTAGGTGAAGGTGTGTTCAAAGGTGGGGTGCAGGGGTTGTTGACTGCAGCTCTGTCTCTGTTTCAGGAGAGTGAGCCCATTTCACATTACCTGCACGTGGAGATTGGCACGGAGCTGCGGCAGAGACTGGCCAGGATGGGCATGGACATGCTGCTAAAGATGGTAGGCACTTGGCTGGGGCTGCAGGAGAAGGTTGTTTTCCTGCAGAAGCTATTCAGTTTGGATAATAAGGCAATGTGGCTAAAGAGAGAACCCATTTGCTTCCTACCTGTATCTGGTCTGGGTAAAGCCTGGGCTGGACATGCCCCTGACACAGAATCCTGCCACTGCAGAGGGGACATTTGCCTGAACGCAGTAGGACTGGCCTGTGCACCTCAGTCAGCCTTTGCTTAGGACACCCACTAATTCATTCAATGAATATTGACCTACTGCCCAAGTATCTTAAAGTGCAACATTATTAGCAAATGCCATGTGCTCTGCAGAGATTGTGGATGCGACTCAGAGGGAAAACAGTGAGCTGGCTTCTTCATTTATCAACTCCTCTAAAACTGTCTTTTTGTTAGGGAGAACTAAATCTCGGGTAAAGACAACAAACCTGGCCAGATTCAGCTTCTGACTGTCTAATTCTTCTGTGGCTGAAATAATCCCAAATGGTCTGGAAAGGAGTGTTGAGAGGGTGGTACAAGTGTCTTGTGAGGGGCTGTGAGAACCAGCAGGGAAGAGTTGTAAAAGCTCCTGACAGTACTGAGTGTGTGGGCAGTGCATGTCAGATGAAATGCTGCTGCTAACTGCAGCATTATGCTAGAGCAATAGTGAACCTCAGTTCTGGCTCCAGGTAGTATGACAGGCCCTGAAATAGCTTTTACCACTCAGAAAAGCAATGCTGGAACCAGAATAGTTGTATGCTAAGATTGGTTTCAAATTTTAGGAGAAGAAAAGAATTAAAGGGCAAAAAAAAAAAAAACTTTATGTCTATAAGTAAAACAAATACCTCTTTCTTGAGTACTCTGCAGTTCTAGTCCCTTGCTGTCCAGGACCCTCTGTTTCAAGGGCTGCAGCAGAGCTAGAAGAGGTGCAGAGGAAAGCAGATAGGATGATTACTCGTGTGGAATGGCTTCCATACCAGAATGGTGAAATAATTAGGACTCTCTACTCTGGAAAGCAGAAAGATGAGTAGTTTATGACAGAGATTATGCAGTCATGAGTGCATGAGAATGAATATGGATCTAATATGTAGAGTTTCTCAATAAGGAGGACATAAAATTAACAGAAGTAATTTTTTTCAGGCAACACCAAAACCATATTTTTTTCACAGAGCTCTAATTGGCAGTTGAACAAATTGATAGGAGAAATCCATGAAATGCAAAGATAATCTCCTTGGGGCAGGAAGTCCTGCAGTCCCAGGCTGATGGGAGGCTCAGGGAGGGAGGGAGTAATATCTGGTTCTTGTCCTCTTGCCAGTCTTTCTGGTGCTAACTGCTAGCAGAGTCAGAGAAGAGCTACACAGATTTATTTCCTCTTCTCTTGTTTTCCTCACTTTTCAATAGAGTTGTAATGTGGGTTGGTGTCCTGCACTAGACAAACTTAACCCCTCACTATAACCTTTGCCACTGAATAGCAAACGGCCTATTTCTACTGCATAACTCTTTGCTAAGGCCCACCAGTATGCCCCAGTTTAGGGCTAATTGCCAAAGATCACTGCCATTCCCTGCGGGGACTCCTGGCTGTCCTACCTGACCTCTAGCAAACATTGGATTGCTTCACACAGCTCTGCTGACCTCCTGAGTACCCGAGCTGGTCTCCAGCAGAAGCTACCTCCTGTGGTGCTGCCAAGGGTGCTGTCCCATCACTAGTAATGACAGAGAACAGACCACAAACAACCCTCTGCCATTTGCCTGGGGACTTTGGCATCACCAGCTTTGCTTGGAATGAGCTGCTCTCACACTTACCTGTCCTCCAGATCTTTGTTGACAACTTTGTCCACGCCGACCTGCACCCCGGGAACATCCTGGTTCAAGGCACGGCATGGCCAGGCAGTGCCCGCCCGGAGCAGGCAGTGGTGCCGGAGCTGAGCGACACCGTGGTGCTGGGGGTGCAACCATCCCTGCAGCAGCTGCGCCTGGTGCTGCTGGACGCAGGGATTGTGGCGGAGCTGCAGAGCGCCGACCTGCAGAACTTCCGCGCCGTGTTCACAGCTGTGGTCTTGGGACAGGTGAGGCCCCTCTCCGGCATGGGGCTGGCTGGGGAAGGGAGGTGGTGCAGAATCTGATGGCCAAAGTGAGAGTTTTCTGTTTCCCCTTAAAATGCTAAGAGGGGCAAGGAGCCTTGCTAGCATCTTATCCCCAAACACAGGGATAAGTTATTCAGCTGCAGCAAGGAGGCTGCCAGAGTGCAGCAATTTCAGGGCCCCAGGAAGTAGGAGGTGCTAAGTGGAAAGCACTTGCTGCCCATTCCTGGTTAGGAGTACTTCTGCTGCAAATTAGGACTGCCTGGGAGCCACTGTTGCAGAATCTGTCGGGTTTGGTTACAGAAGAGGAGGCAATGGGTTAACATCTTGATCTGCCACACATGCTCCTCTCTGCAGCCTTGCTGTTGGAAGGCCCATATGCCTTCCTCCATTTTGCTGTTTTAACAGCATCTATAGAGGAGAGGAAGGAAAACGGGTGTGTGTGTGTGGCGGGGTCTGACCTCTGCTGGGCTCCTCTATGTGAGGGGAACTACATTATCCTCTTCCCCCCTTAAACTCACTGTCAGATGGACTAGAGATCCCAGTGCTTCTGTCTCCTGTTCATTCTGAGAACAAGCATTGTGCTCCTACTTGCCTGTTGCTGTCTCTCAGCTGCAGGGTGAAGGGCTCACTAACATAGCTCAAGAGGGACACATTTTGTCCTGGTCTGCTGAAGCATGCCAAAGAATCCATGCTAAACCTTGTATCCAGGGCCATCCTGTGCTGCCAGGGGCACTTCTCAGCTACTAAAAGCAAGAACTGCAAGCATCTGATTGCAAGTCACCAGTGACCAGGTTCTGGTTGTGCTGTTCAACTTGTTTCTCAGGGGGAGAGGGTGGCAGAGCTGATCCTGCACCACGCCCGTGCCAACCAGTGCCAGGACATCGAGCGCTTCAAGGCTGACATGGCAGAGCTTGTCACCAAGGCCCGGGGGAACACCATTGCCTTGGGCAAGGCAAGTGCACCATGTCACAGTCCCACTTAGCTGCAATTCAGTGCAACTTGGCACTGAAAACTGAAACAAAAAGGTTTTTTGATCAGCTGTTAAATTCTCCTTGTGTATTCCAGCTTCAGGTGGGAAATCTCCTCTCGAGTGTCTTCAAACTATTGATGACCCACAAGGTGAGGTTCTGTCCCTGTCTGCCTTTAATAGCTGGAAGTTCATCTGGGGAGGGAGAGCTACTGGGAATATGAGGGGCTAATAAGGAGGGGGAGTGACTTCTGAAGCAAACTGCTAGGAGAGGAACTGCAGGAATGCATCCAAATGTTGCAGGCATGCTGTTTCTCAGGTCTTGTACATACTCTGCCAAGCCCAATTTCTGTTTTGGTTTTTTTTTTTTCTTTTTTTGTCTCAATACTTAATTTAATAGTTGATATTGTCTACTAAAAGGAGTATTTTTGTAACACCTAGTTTTTCCTACCTTTTTTATAGTCCCTTAGACTATAGATACCTCCTTATAACTGATTATTTGGGGGACAAATTTCCACAGCTGCAAACAACTTTGGAAATCAAAAGACCTGTGGTGGCTTGAACTGGGGTTGTCAGCCACCGTCCAACTGGTGGAGTTGCATTATAGTTTCAAATTATAGTTGCATTATAGTTTCAAAATATAGTTGCATTATAGTTGCAAATGCTCTCCCCAGCCTCCTCCCTTCCCTCCCAGCTCAGGCAGAGCAGAGCTGGTACCTTGGTTGAAGGGGTACAGAAGAAAATAATGTCCACTGAGTCCATTCAGTCTGTTGTGGTTCTAGGTGAAGCTTGAGAGCAATTTTGCTTCCATCATCTTTGCCATCATGGTTCTGGAAGGACTGGGACGTTCACTGGACCCTGAACTGGACATCCTGGAGGCAGCCAAGCCACTGCTCATGAAAACTGCAGTTTCTGCCCTCAAATAGACTCCTGTGGCTGCTGCCCTCTCCCTGTGGGGGCTACCTGTGCTGCCTGTCAGCTGACATAGAGGAAGCTGAAGGTGAGAAGTCACAGGTACCCCAGAGATGTGGTGTGCAGTGGTTGCTCTCCACTAATGCTGCCTTCAGTCGTTTCAGCCAAGCACCAGGCATGGGATGATCTGAAGGTCTATTCCAGAAAGCAGGAAGAATTTGCACAATTGGACATCTCCCACTCATTGCACAGTTCTAAGAGCTATTGTGCTCTGGTAGATTTTAAAAACATCTTCAAAAACATTGTTAATTGATCAAGTCTGTTTTAAAATATATCAGGTTAAATATTTAATTTACTGACTTACCTGCACTGTGGTATGAGAAATTATGTTCTAGCATTACGTAAGCAAGACATTCAAGCTGAAAAAAGCCAGTAAACCTGTTTGTCTTTTGTACTTTTAACTTCTACTTTTATTGTAGAAGTGTCCTAACATCCTGCATGTAGCGGTCTGCTCTTAGTCATTTTGGATGACAAAACCAGACCATTAAAATTTTTTTTCAAACTTCTGTACTCTAGTACATTATGATAGGAGTTTGGATTATAAACAGAATAATAAAATATTTACCTAGGCAGAAAAACCTACCCCCATAATAAAAAACAACTTCTGGGAATATTTGTCTTGGTCTTAATTTTTCTCTTTCTGAAACTTAAGAGGGTTTTTTTCCTGGTCTATGTGATTTTCTCTACTGGTGCTCCCCTGGTTTCACTCTACTCAAAACCTTAACTGATATGGAAATACTTAGGGTTTTTTCCCCAGCAGGTTTCAAACCAGAGTCCAAGCATTTTCCTGATAGATCAAAACCCCACTATGAATGTTTAAAATCAAATAAAGCCAGAAGAAGAACTGGATTACATGTAGCATTTACAGTCAATTACTTTAATAGCAGTATTAAAATGATTTTATGGCTTCATTTTAATAGTGAGAAATACAGTCCATGAATGATTGGAAATAGTGTGGTACTGAGTATATTCCCAGACCTACCCTGTGTGAAACAGCAGTAGAGCAGGGTCTCTGCAGTGGTCTGTTCTCAGGTGGTTAAGCAATGAAGAGAAAGTGCATAAGCAGACAATCTGCTGTTTTATGGTGATTATAAAGTAATGATTAATAGCATATAAACGAAGTCTGAAAAATAAGTTTCAATTCAGCTCAGTATATTTCAATTAAAGTACTTTCCTTTAATCACTGCATATTCCATTTCCAAGTGCATAAGGATAAAAGCAGGATTAGAGTTTAACACCTTGTAAGTTTTAGGCTTGTTTCTTTAAGTCTAGTTAGAGTTATAAGCAGGCAGAGCATCGTCCTAACCAGCACAAGATTTTATGTAAAAGAGAATTCAAACAAGAAGAGGAGCAAGCAACCCCTCCAAACATTACCCTAAAGAAAATCTCCATGTGCCACCAGCACCCACGTTCCCTCAGCAGGTGTGTGCCAGGTCTGGGGCACAACCATCCATGTTCTTGCTGAGCAAATTCCAGACAACTTTTCCAGACACTCAGCAGAGTGGAAACTGTTCCAAATGATGGGATTTTGTGTCTAAAATGCTAAACTGTGCCTCACATGTAGCTTCCATAATCTGAAGCAAGTTACATTTTTTCAGACCTTAAGTCTAACATTTTGTTTGTTAAAGCTTTCACCTTCTATTTAAGTTCATCTTTCCTTTTCCCTTTTTTTTTTTCTTTAAGTAAAAATCTCAGGATGGCTCATGCACATATATTACGGATCTTAAAGTTTAAAAATACCCAATTTAGGTATGAAGGTCTCAGAGTAGTTTGTAAACATCTGGATGAGAGTCTTAACTTTGTCTTTTTAGGGAAAACCTGAAGGCATAGCCTCTCCATTATCCCTGGAGGAATGCAGTCTGACACTTACTGCTAGGAAATCTGGCCGTTCAGATTTGGCAGGATTTCAAAGGAGCTCACTTTTACAAGTTTTCTTTATTTTACTTTCTTCTTTTTTTTTTTTTTTTTTTTTTTTTTTTAAGAAACTGCCATCATTGCTGGTGCTGTATTCTAGTAAGATGCATACATTTTTATAATGTGCCAGAAAATGTGTATCATGTTTCTAAGGGCACACAGAATGTCAGGCTGAATTTAAATTTTGTATCTAGTTTGGTTCCAGGCATTACTTGAAACAAAGTATCACATATATTGTATTCATTTTAGCACAATTCTGTATAAAATAAAGATACTTCCATAAAGCTCTGGCTATTTCAGCAAATAAATTGTGCCATGTCCATTCTCCTTTCCTAAATACCCGTGTGAAATTTCTGGTGACCCAGAGCTGATCAGTGCATTTTGTACCTCAGATGATGTGAGGAAGAGGGAGCACTTCAGGATGTGACAAGCTTAACCTCCTCCTTTGGCACCTCCACTCACCATAGAGCAATGCACTAGAAAACCCCTCCTTTCTGATGCAGAAAAGTGCCTCTAGATTGCCCTGCTGCTCCCTCTCAGGGGAAGGGGAAGCCATGAGCCCAGGAAGAGAGGCAGGTGAAGGACAGAGCCGTGGAAGTGCACTCTGGCTGCAGTTAAAGGAGATTAGAGACCTCTCCAGGAATCCTGATGCCACCTCTCCAGGAAACCTGTCACCACTCTGCTCTGCACAGCTGACCAGACAGAGCAGGTCTGTGAACTGCTCCAGGCCCTGCTCACCCAGCCTGCAGCTTCCTTATGTGAGCAGGGATGCCTGGAGCAGCAGGAGGTTCTGTTCCCTGAGGTACTGCTGGAGGGCACAGAGTTTCTGGCCTTCTTTGTCCATCTTCAGATGAGAACTCTCTCCCCTCTGGAACACTCTCACTTTGGCAGCCTGGTGCTGGATTTACTGTTTGTCCTGCTCCTGGGATTCTTGTTCCAGCACTTCCTGCCGTGACTGCATTCTGCTCCTCAGCAACTCCTACATTGAGACATTCAAAACTGTACAGTCAGCCTTCACACCAAATTTCATCCTCACTTTTCATCTCTGTCCAGCTCTGGGGCCCCCACTATAAGGACATGGATATTGAAGAGGAGGATCACGAAGATGCTCAGAGGGCTGGAGCACCTCTGCCATGGAGCCAGGCTGAGAGCTGGGGTTGTTCGGCCTGGAGAAGAGAAGGCTCTGGGGAGATCTTAGAGCACCAGCACCTTCCAGTGCCTGAAGGGCTACAAGAGATGGAGAGGGACTTTTTACAGGGGCATGGAATGATGGGACAGGGGGAATGGCTTTAAACTGATAAAGAGTAGGTTTAGATTAGATATTAGGAATAAATTCTTTCCCGTGGGGGTGGAGAGGCCCTGGCACAGGTTGCCCAGAGAAGCTGTGGATGCCCCATCCCTGGCAGGTTGGACAGGGGGTTCTGAGCAGTCTGGTCTAGTGGAAAGTGTCCCTGCCCATGGCAGGGGGGTCGGGACTAGAGGAACAGAATCCAAATCATCCTACAGCACTATGATTCTCACTAGTAGAAGTAAGAAATGGATATAATCTATGGAAATTAATTCCTTGCATGCAGAAAGACTTATTTTGTGGCAGATACAGGTAATTTTACTTTCCACCTTTCATCTTTATACACACACGTCAAAAAAATGTTACCCTTTTTATCTCTAAATGATACAGTTATATTGGATGTAAAACAGGTGACATATACAAATACTCCAGATACTGACACTGCTGGAAACGCGGCAGAAGAGGAAAATAACTTCTGGAATTGCCCTTACCAGCCTTTCTTTCTCTTGTTCACAGCTCCTTTTGTTGCTTTCTGCCTGCAACTCCTCTCTCTGCAAACTCCGTCTGTAAGAAATGAAGCCTCTGCCTTGCCTTCCTCTCCTCCTCCTCTCGAAAGGAGTGTTCCTTCCTGCTCCTCTCAGCCCCAGCAGCCTGGAGCAGTGCCATGTGCTGCAAAGCTCTCTCTTTGCGCTCCAGCTGTTTCTCCAGCCCTTGCAATGTTCTCTGATGCAATCGCTGCCTGTTTCCAAAACAAAATTTCTCAAATTTCTCATAAAGAAAGAGCAATAAAAAAGAAAGATAGTGCATAAGACACAAAGCAGATATTTTGGCAATCTGTGTTCAGTTAATATTGCAGGACAACCTCTTTGTTAGGTTATGAAGATTAAACCTGTGTCCAGAACAGAGGCAGCAAAAGCCCCCAAGGGTCTGGTGCCTGATGTCAGCAGTTTTGGTCTGAGAACAGGACTGAAGGGAATCTGCCCTTGGAGATAATGCTCTGTACCCACTCCCTCACACCTCAAGCACTGATTTTATCCCCAGTAGGGAACCACTGTGACCCCTCTGCAGAGCCCAGCAAAAAGCACAACATGGGGTGTGCAGGAATGAAGGAGAGCAGCAGGGAGCAGATGTTACCAACCTTCCAACATTTAGCACAAAAAGCAGTTAGTTCCCAGCATCACCTCTGGCTGTCCCTGTGTAGCTGGCGCCAGGTGCCATCTGCATCTTGCTGCTGCTCCCTCTTCAGCCTCTGTTCCTCTTGCCACCTTTTGTGCTCAACCTTGGCTCTGCTGAAGTTCAGCTCTTTCCACTTTTTCTGAGATGCACCACTAAGCATTAATTTCTACGAGAAAAAAAGCAAACTGCGCCCTTAGTCCCAACAGTATATTGTTCTAATGCACACTGTAAACACACAAAACCAGAACAGCCCAGCTTTAATGTCACTACTGGGGCCTAGAAACTACAAAGGCTCACAAATACTGTAGTGTTGATTTCCATCCATGAAAACACTGAGGATGATGCTAAAACCTGTAGAAAACATTAGGCTTAATCAACAAAGAGGTGTCTGAAAATCCAGTCTTAAGAGCTCTCCATAGGTCAGTAGGCTGTGCTGTTCTGGTGTTGAGCCAATGCTTAAACTCCTCAGTTTTTGGGTCAACTTCTGGATTGGATGGAAAATCCAGGTTCTGACCATAAAACTTAATATATTTCTTACTAGATTTTATTAGCAAGAGAAATACCTGCCCCCATCTGGCCAAATCCAGAACATTCCCGAGTTCTCTGAAAGTTTTGCAACTCTTCACCTTTTGTTGTCTGGGATTTCTACCCATGCTCAAGCAGCCTTAGTGTTTTCTTCAGCAGTTGCTTCATTTCAATGTTGTAGTGCTGCTGATTTGTGTTTTTAAATGCACTGTGCCATGTACAGAGATGAAGGAGCACCTACAAGGCCTCTTTTCACAGCCACAGTGAAATATTTATTTGTTTTTGTACTCCTTACAGTACCCTTTATGAGGGAAGTGCAAGTAAACACCACCAAACCTTTAGATATACAGTTATATTGCATATTCCAGTTTACATTGCTAGAGCTGTTTGGGGCTGGAACAGTTCCCCCAGAATATTTTCCTCTGTCAAATGCATCCTCCTATTCCCAAGTGCAGTTTGTATGTTCCTGCTATCAGCTGCTCCTCTGCAAACAGAATGTCTCCTTCCAGTGCTTTCCTGAGGACAACTTGAGTACCACAAGCTGGAAAACACTACAGGACTTTCAAATAATGATCCTGCCAGTCTTACACAGCATGTGGACTGGTTTATCTTAACACATTGATCTGTATGGCTTCCCAGGGGCTATAAACAGCTTTGTTCTCCAGTGTATTGCTATTCTTAGCAAAAGAATGTACCTTGTGGGTGTGTTTAATGACACACACAAGGAGAGATCAAAGAAAGAATCAAAGGTGTTTTGTAGGTGGGAGGTGAACAAATGATGTTTTCCAGCAGGTAAAGTACCAGCCTAAGGATCAGAAGACTTCTAGTTCCACCCCTGCCCTAACATGCACTCTTTGCTGTGAGCCTCAGATGACTGCCTAAACTTTCTCTTTTTTGCTTTCAGTATCTGTAAAACAGGAATTTTTTTTTTTTTTTTTGCTATCTAGTAGAGCTGGCTGAGAAGCTTATTTAGAATAGATTATAACTAACATACAAAAACATCCTGTCAAAAGCGCTGAGCAAAAATACCACAAGTACCCTGTCCTGCACAACGTGGGCTGCCAAGTGGAGCTCTTAAGTCTCTATTCATGCATAACCATTATTCTACACAGGCATCACTCCTGTTGCAGCAAAATCCTTTGTGAAAGATCACAGGAGAGAACATTCTCATATGACATAAACAAATCTCCTCATCCCAAGAACTAAACCTAAATACTCACTGTGATGCTTTTGTCTTTTAGAAGGTTTGGGAGATGTGTGGCTCTCCCAGCCAGCAGGCGTGAACTGTGTGGTCTCTGCACACGAAAGGCTGATCTGATGGTCAGGCTGTCTTTCTCCAGTGATTGATTCACTTGGGCAAAGAAGCTCTGGCACTGGAAAGGAACCAAAGCACCGCTTCCCAGGGAAGGGCTCCTCTGGGAATGCTGGACTGGAGCTTCTGCCACTCTGGACTCAAAAAGGCCTTTCAAATAAATCAGGGCAAGGACATATGAGAATATAGGAAGCTTATAAAAAGAAAGCAAATTAAAAGAACAAAAGGTCTGCTCATATGAAATATATTCAAGTGAGGATTTTATAATATTTTCTTGTGAAGAAGTGGGACAGTTTTTAGGCTCTACAAAAGAGGTTCCAGCTTTTCAGAAACAAGCTTGCCATTGCATTTAGGCAAGAGTTTGGCCTGGGAAACTGAATTTTGCCTGCCACTTCTTACAGCTACTCAAGCTAAAGGATTGTTTACATGGTATCTCTCATGAACTGCTCTGAGATGAGTAAAAATGATAAATATTTTGATAAGGCAATGCCTGAGCTCCACATCCTGCTGTGAGACAGGAGACATTGTCATGGGCACAATCTTTCTAACACAGCTTTTGGGAACTGAGAACAGAAGCAGAGTTTGCTCAACCTTTCTGCTAAGGACAGGGCAGACCTGAATGGCAGCAGTTGCATAGAATGATGCTGGAACACCAGCTAGGAGGAATGTGCACTCCTGTTTAACTTTTCATTCTCCCTCTTCCAGCAGTGTCACAAAGCAATAACAGAGAAAGCTTTAGGCTTTCAGAATCCCCTCTTAGATGTCTGCAATTGTCACAAAGCTGAGAACAGGAACAAATTGATCAAAATCATGATCCAGCCTCTTTTGGCTGTTCAGGGAAGAAAATTCTACTCAGTGACATGATAAAGCAGTAGTTTTCAGCACAGATAAGAGGATTGTTTTGCAGCAAAGCCCTGGTGAAATCTTGTTGCTATACACAGTCACAGTTAATGTTAAATATTAATTTTTACAGTAAGGAAATTTTTATTTATACTGAGCTTTACGATATAGGTTAAAAACCCCCAAAAGCTGCTACTGCAGTAGCTAAGCTGTAAAAGCCAAAAAGTCTCAAGTTCCATCTGAAAATTGCTTCACTTTGAGAGAAGATGAATAACTTCTCAAGCCATAGCACCATTAATACCTATATATAAAGATGGCATTATGGTATTTTCTTGTGAAGCACCAAGAATTATGGTGACAGATCTTACACATGATGCCATCCTACACTGATACTATGTGCTAAGTCTTATGTTTGGGAAAAGAGTTACAGTTCCAATACCATGCTCATGTTCAAAATTAGCTTCAGTTTCAGCATCCTGCTGTCTGCTCTCTGCTTCTTCCTTGTGATCTGTCTCCATTAACCAGCTGTCTGTGTTGACAGCAGCATCAACCACAGCATGAACCATCTCCCTCTGAGGGCCCTAGAAATAACAAGAAATGCAACCAAAATCCAGACCTGATAAGGAAAAGAATAAACTTGTTATTCAATGAGTTTACATCATAAAATCTGAAGCTGTAACTGAAGTTTAGGAGAGAATTAAAAAAAACAAATTCTGGGGGACTTCTTTACTAAAGAAACAACTCATAGATAATTTGATCACTTCCTGAGTTTCCCTATGTCTCCTGGATGACCTGAAGTACTTTTGCCTGAAAGGGTCCAAACTGGTACAAAAGAGATCAGGCTGGATGCACTCTGGCTGAAAGACAGCCCTGCTTCTGGCATGTGCCAGAATTTGGATTCCAACCCTTGCAGAGCAATGGAGATAAGTGTGGCAGTAGCTGGTGCACATGAACTTCCTCCTTACTGATCCTCACCCAGTGCCCTGCTCACAAGCACCAAATCAGCTGCTGAGGACTACATAAATCTCTTGTGGTCCTTGACTGGAAGAGGGGACACCTCTAACAGGGTGGAGATGTTAAAAGAATCATGCAAGGGACTTCCTTGGTATGGAACAATCCCTACTATAATCCTTACCCAGTGTCAAGTCTTCTGACACTTTTTCCTTTTTTTTGCCTTTACCTCCTTCACACAGAAGCAGAATGCAGAGGGACTGGGCTATGCAGCACTTCTCATACTCTGAATCTGTGGAAGAGGTTCTAGAAGCCTGCTCCACCCAGGGATAATGACAATTATAGCTCTTATCCCAATCAAAGGAAGGCAGTGCAAAGTCTCCCCATTCTTTAGAAGGAAGGCATAAGGAGCAGGCTTAAACCTCTAGCTTGGTACCAAGGGTAGTAAACTTGCAGTAACAAAGCAGATATTTATGCAAACAGCAGACCGTTTATTAACAGAAGAGCTAGGGTGAAGCACTTTTTACCTTCTCAGTTTCTATAACCTTGCAGTCCTCTTCCAAACAAGACCTAACATCTTCTGGAACGTTCTCTGTCTCCAATCGCTTCTCTTCCTTTTTCTCTTCCTCTCTGGGAACGCTTTCTGAAGATGCAATCCTCAATTCAGACAGTTGCTGTTCTATTTTCTTGTTGAGCTTTCCTTCAGTCAGGCTTGCTCCTGGGATGAAGGTGTTTTCCTGCTGCACTTGGCACTCTGAAGACCGTGTGGATTCCCAAGCTCCAAGGCAGCACTGGGGAAGTGAGGTACACCCCCAGCTGCACTTTGCACAGGGATGAGTGGGATACAGAGCCTCTGGGAAGAAATCCAGGCCCAGGTGACCCTGTCTGTAGTGCCCTGAGGCTCTATAACCTGGTGCCACAAGGTATGGGTAATCCAAGCTTGATTCTACCACCATCTGCCTGGCTGCTAAAGGCATCTGCAGCTCCAGGATGATGCGATCACTTAGGGGCAGGGGAATCCGCAGAGCTTGGGCAGAAGACACCTCCTTAGTCTGCCCATTCCAGAAATTCACAAGCATTCCCCTTTGACTGTGTGCTATGCATATTGGAGGGGGGGGGGGGGGGGTAAAAAAAAAGGTAAGTAATGTATTAGTAGCATGTCAATCTGTGTGAATTATCTCATAACGAGCAGGAGTTAAAAGTAATGACTTGTGTTTTAGACAATTCTGTAACAACTTCCATGATTTTATTCTTTACAGGTTTAAAATTTGACTTTCTCCTGAATTTCCTGTGAGGAGACAGGAGATATTCAAAAATCACACTTGCCACAGCAGGTTGGATTTTACCCTGAAATATCTGGAAAGCAGACTAAGAGATAATGAGGTTACCTTCAGGAAGATCAGGAATGTTTTTTGACTTCTGTTGGGAGGATGCTATCCCCAACTCCTAACCTTTTAGGAAGTTTTCACCCATAGAACAAAGCAAAGGCAAATTCTGTGAGCTGCATTAATTCTGACCCTGAAAAAGTGGCTTAGCGCCAACAATAAAAACAGGATGAAGAGAACCCAAGCAGAAGGAGGTGAATTCTCTGTGCTGGAGCCTGCTCTCTTCCCTGCACTAACCAGCACCTATGGCAAGTCCAGTGCTGATAAGAAAACTAAAACACTCAGTACCTAAAGGTGCTTCTGTGTTCTCCACAATCCTTAGCACAGTGCCAGGGCCAAAACGTTTGGCTGGAGCCTCCCATGGTGCCAAGACTCTGTCCCCTGGAGCAAGAGGCTGTCGCCGGGCGTCTTCATAGTGCAGAATGTCATAGAGAGGCGTTTCCTGCCAGCCACGCTGGACCTTGCCCTTCGGAACACAACTTTGGTCAAACTCAACTAAAAAGCCTTCCCTGGAGCCCTGCAAGAGTAAAACATTTGGTTTGCAAGGCAATTTGCAAGGTCCAGTTAACAGCAAAGCTTAAGTACTAAGAGGGAAGTGGCAAAAATCCCAGGAAGTAGAATGTGATCTGGGAATGCAGCTTTCCTCACTGTACTGTGTCCATACAACTTCAAAAGTGAATAAAAAGCTGGGACTTAAGGGGCCACAGATTTTTTTTCTTCCTTTCACTTTGGAGTTAGTTTTTAGTAAGAACACAATTAGCAGTCTAAGGCAGAACTCTACCAGGAAAACCTCCCACCAGAAAAAGAGCAGCCAAAAGAAACTGTGTATGATGCAGTTCAGAACTGCACATACTTCACAATCACAAGGATAACAAACAGTCCTTCAGCAATCAGAAGGGTAAAAAAGCAGTAAAAAGTCACAATTGGCATAAATTAAAATACTTTAATTGAAACCTTCAGCAGAGAGTGAGGGCAAGATCTACTGCCAGATCTCTGCCTTCTCTGCAGATCTCTGAGTGCACTTACACAAATAATACTGTCAGCTCCTACGCCAGCTGATGTCACTCGTGCCTATAACTATCTCAATATGTTCTACCCCACACTGAAGCTCACAGACATCCTCACCTACACCAGCACCAAAATTTATTAAATTAACCTGCAAAATGAACTAGATTTTAAAAGAAAATCTGCAGGGGGGATTTTCTGTATGGCATCCAAAATAATCTCACAATTCCCAAAAACAAAGATAGAAAAGAATGAGGAAAGCTCGGAGTTTAGTAAAGAGAAAGTGGACACTGGAGACAAACATTTTGGATTACTGGCTGCTGTTTAGCTAACCAACTCTGCTGCTAGGCCGGGCAAAAGTAGACAACAGGGATAAGTTGTCTCTGAATAAAAACTCATTATAACTACAAAAACAGATTGGTCTCCAGGCTGTTCTTACTCACAGGGCTCCTCACAGCAAACAGCCAGACAGCACCAGGTAACAGATGAAAACAGGGCGTGGGGAGGCAACAGTGGCTAGGAAGCGCGCTGTAACACTGGAGAGCCACCTCACAGCAAGGGCTTGGGAAGAACAGGGAAAAAAACCACACATGCTCTTACAGCCAAGTTCCCAATAAATAGTTACCTTCACCTCCTGGACAATGTGGCCCAGGTAGTAATAACCATCAGTTTCTCTCCTTGCCAACACACGAGCTCCCCTCAGGACACGGGAAGCCTCCAGGGATGAACCAATGAAATTCCTTTTGCTTGAGGGTATCAGGGGCATGCAAAAGGGACCTGGGTTCCAGGCACAAACACGACAGCTGTGGAAAAAAAAATACAAGATGCAATGAAAAGCTGGGCACCAAATACTCTGCAACTTACTAAAAACAAATTAAATCAACATGGAAAAAAAAAAACCCACTCTGCAATAACTTTGTTTCCCAGCTTTTTCTTCTCTGCTTTTCCAGTGACCCACCTACAGATTATGAACTTACTGTGTTATTGGACATCTTGGCAGCAGAGAGCTACAGGAATCTTTATTAGCTGTGTGGCAGCACTGGACACGTGAGATGGACGTGGAGCTTACCTGGAAGGGGGAAGGAGGAGATGGAGCAGAAAATGAGCATGATTTTTGAACACTTAAATCCTTAAACAGGAATATTTTCTACAAAGTTGAAATTTACTTTCAGTTTATTACTTCTCTTCATAATTCTTCCACTGTATCTTGTGGTACTATGCTGCTTATCTGTAAATTCATCACAAATGGTTTTGATTTTGAGAAATAAAAGTTTGGAAGGAAGGAATATTAAAAAAAAAAAAAAAGCCTAAGAACTATGTAATAAACTCCCATTTGCACCTGGTTTCTATTCAGCTGCTAGGTGAGTAGCAGGGGTGGGCAGCCAGTGGCTGTGTGTGTGCTGCTGCAGCTTACACAGCTTCCAAGCTCCCCTGGCAAGCAAATCTGAAAGGTCAATGAAAGGACCTGAAGTCAAGGAAGAGCGAAAAAAGTGGGGGTTCAATCTAGGGAGACAAAGTTGCCTCTGCAGGTCAAAGCCAGCAGTGGAGACATCCAGCCTGAGCAAGATGGGAAACGTGGGGTGCTTGAGAGCAAGGACACAGGGAATAGAATGTCAGGCACTACAAGAAGGCAGAAAGACAAAATACAAGGCAGTTGGAAGGCAGAACTCACAACAAAACTATGAACTTTTTATTAAAGCATTCAGCTTTTATGGAAAAACATAAATTCAGTATGGAGGTTGCAACACATTGCACACAGTAAATAAAAACTGGTAGAAAAGTTTGCTGTTATTCCCTGGAAGCTGCTGAAAATGGCTCAGATGAGCAGGGATATTAAAGTTCCTTAATTATGAGGATATCCACTGCTGCTTCACCTAAGAACGTCAGGTGTTTGGGGTGTTAACAAATGGAGAAGATATTGTTACTTATTTAAAATACCTTCAGGAGGGTTGCAGAAACTCTGCTCCAGCTCTTTGTCGAGTGTTATCCAATAAAGATTCAGGAGGAACTACAAGTGTGGATTAATCTTACATTGGCATCATACCTTGTCAGGAGGAGTAGAGGAGTGTTGGATTCCTTGAAAGGACCCCCCTGAAAGTCTGGGTAATTTCTCCATTATTTTTTGGTTGTTTCTTTCGTGATCACCTCAATATCCCAGAAGGCACATCATATGCATTACTGGATGCAACTGGTTCTCCACAAGAAGCTGGCAGAATTCCTCTGACCCCTGCTCTGGCATACACCGGTGAACAGATCCACCCACCGGCAGCACGGGCTTTCCATCCTCCTCAAAGTGTCGGGACTGAAACCAGGCTGCAGCTGCAGGAACACTGCTGAACGAGCAACAAGCAGGCAGGCGCGCCGCTGTTACAGCTGTGCGAGAGGGAAAACGGGAGAGAAGAACACAACTCTCTCAGATGCTCAGGTGGGAATTCTGTACTGGTGTTTCTTTGCCGAGGCGTCGCCCCCGCGTTCCCATTCCGGCTGCCGGCCCAGAGAGGGGGAAGAGGCTCCGCACCAGCGCCTTCCTCTGCGACACCCCAGGGCGAGTCCCGCATCCCGGCCCAGCCACGGCGGGAGGCGCCGCCGGGACACCGCCCGCGCCGCGCTGTCCCGCAGCCGCACTGCTGGGGCTGGGCTGCCCGGGCTGGGACAGACGGACGCGCTGCTCCTTCCGCCCCTTCCTTAAACACCGGCAGCCGGAGCCGCCTTCACCCCGCCCCTCCGAAAAGGAGCGGCTTGGCTGGGGAGATCGCCCCGCTCTGCGCCCCCCGTGGGAGACGCCAGCTTTTGGGAGAACTCACGGAGGAGCCGCCCTTGGAGCGGCCCCGGCGCTCCCAAGTGCTGCGGGGACTGCGGGGGTTGTGCGTGCTGTCCCCGCGCCCCGGGACAGCGCCGAGCCCCAAGCTGTCCCCGGGCCGCCACCACCCTTCCCGGGATACCTCTGTGCCGCGGCTGTCTCCGTTTCCCGGGATACCTCAGTGCCGCGGACTCCCTCAGTTTCCCGGGATAGTTCGGTGCCGCGGCTGCCTCAGTTTCCCGGGATCCCTCGGTGCCGCGGGCTGTCTCCGTTTCCCGGGATACCTCAGTGCCGCGGGCTGCCTCAGTTTCCCGGGATACCTCAGTGCCGCGGCTGCCTCCGTTTCCCGGGATCCCTCTGTGCCGCGGCTGTCTCCGTTTCCCGGGATCCCTGGGTGCCGCGGGCTGCCTCAGTTTCCCGGGATCCCTCGGTGCCGCGGGCTGCCTCAGTTTCCCGGGATCCCTCGGTGCCGCGGGCTGCCTCAGTTTCCCGGGATCCCTCGGTGCCGCGGCTGTCTCAGTTTCCCGGGATCCCTCAGTGCCGCGGCTGCCTCAGTTTCCCGGGATCCCTCGGTGCCGCGGCTGTCTCAGTTTCCCGGGATCCCTCGGTGCCGCGGCTGTCTCCGTTTCCCGGGATCCCTCAGTGCCGCGGCTGCCTCAGTTTCCCGGGATCCCTCGGTGCCGCGGCTGTCTCAGTTTCCCGGGATCCCTCGGTGCCGCGGCTGTCTCCGTTTCCCGGGATCCCTCAGTGCCGCGGCTGCCTCAGTTTCCCGGGACCCCTCGGTGCCGCGGCTGTCTCCGCCCCGGAAGGCGGCGCGGCGCCAATGGCCGGGGCTGTTGCTGGGCGGTGCGGGTGACATTGGGCACGGCCATGGTGGTGGCGGCGCTGGGCCGAGCGGCGGGGCGGCTGCTGCGGGCCGGGGCCGCCGTGCCCGGGCGGCGGCGGTGAGCGGGGCGGGCCGGGCGGGGCGGGCCGGGGCCGGGGCCGGCGGGGCCCGGAGTGAGGCGGGGCCGGGTGTGTTGCAGCGCGAGCGGCGGGGTGCACATCCCGCCGCGGTATCGGCAGTTCCCGGAGCTGACGCGGGCGCAGGTGATCCGAGGCGAGGTGCTCAGCGGCTTCATGTGGTTCTGGATCCTCTGGCACTTCTGGCACAGCTCGGACATGGTGCTGGTGAGGCCGGCGCGGTGGCCGGGGGCGGGGGGCGCGGGCCGGGCCCCGGCCGCGCTCTGACGGGCCCCTCTCCCAGGGACACTTCCCGTATCCCGACGCTTCGGCTTGGACGGACGAGGAGCTCGGCATCCCTCCGGACGATGAGGAATAGCAGCACACCGGTACGGCTCCCGTCGCCTCTCCTCGCTCGGTCCTGAGCGCGGCTGGTCCCGCTGCAGGGTCCGTGCCCCGGGGAAACGTGCGGCACAGGAGGCAGTGTCCGCACTGCTCACTGCTTCACACGGCTGTCTCGGCTGCCTGACACCAGGCAGCCCTCTTTTGGCAATATAAGGCTGCACTGTAACAACCCGCTTTGTTAGGAGTTGTAGCTTGCCTGGTACCGGCTCTAAATTACTTTCTTCATGCTGTTCTGTAGAGCCAGCATTATCTAACTTCGAAGACATACCCTGTTTCTAAAGATCTGTCTGTATGTTCCCTTAAACGTTTTAGGCTTTTGCTTGTTTCCAGTTCTTTAATTACCCAGCCTTTTTTAAGCTGTTGTGTCACACATTACAGCTCCAAACCAAAAGCTTCAACTACTGCTGAAGGCAGCATTGAGGAGGTCGTTCTTCTGCTCTGCGTGGTGGGAAAATGATGAGCAAAAAGGTTCTCAGCTCTTCTGTTATTTTCAGGTTCCTGGAACTAATTGAGGCCCCTGGAACCAAAACTTTGGCTCCTGGGTCCTTATGTGAATAAAACTGTAAACAAAGGCTAAGCTGAACTGTATTTTTTTTCTATTTTAAGTAGAATCTTTGGAAAATGACCATGACAGCTTTAAAGTTGTACTGCTTGAGTACATGTGAGATTCTGTAATGCCTACTTGATAGAGAATGTGCTTGCCCCAAGAAATAAGGTCCACGAGTGCATGGCAGGTAGCAGTCTTATCAATAAAGGCTCTGCCAAATAACCAATGAAGAGGGGAGGGGAAATTGCCATAGAAGCAGGAGAGTTCAGCCAGAAGAGAACCCAGACCAGTTGGTGCCAGGCTTTTCCCAGGATGAAGGAAAATTCCCCTTGGGTATATGAAAGTTCAGAGTAGTAAAGGTAAAAAGCCTTAGGGCTCAGCACAGCAGTCGAAGAGGCAGTGATGCAGCTTAAGGAAGATGAAGAGAGAAGGGTTACACTGCGGGAGTCCCTTGATATTATTTTTTTCCTTCTCTTTCCCCTTCCAGAGTTATATCCTAAAGTAACATTTTCACTCCCCTTAACCACCTGAGTTGTACCCTTCCAGCTTTGTGGAGAGGAGTCATGCATGACACAATGAACAATCTCCTTCACACTTTTCCATGCAGTCAATCTTTATTATAGCAGTATTCTCATATTCACATCAAGTACATAGAACTTTTTACCTTTCATATAATACAGAGTTCTTTAAATAACTTTACACTGAAATAGTTTTCTTCAATCTGAATTCAGCTATCAAATTTTAATATGTTTTAAGTCTCCATGCTCTCTAACCAAACTGGACAATATTTCCCATTGTACAAATTTACATTAGAAAAACTCCAAAGTACAAATGAAGGGACAACAAAAGTAAAGGGAGAAGGAACAAACAAGAAAAATAAGTTGTATTGGCAGTTACAGGGGAAACTTGAGAAGGAATGGAGTTGCCATGACCTACCTAACAGGAAACCAAAAATAAACATTTTATTATGAATTAAAAAATAAATACAAGTTTCGAAACAATTACTCCATTGTAGATTTTAAAAAGCAGCTATGGAAATCTACTAACACAATGGGTTGTTTTTTTTTTCTTTTTTAAGTAACCAGACTGGACCTTCTACTTTGCAGTCATAAGCCCCTTGCAAACCTCTGGTGGTCAAAAAAAAAAAAAAGAATACAGCTGAAAGGAGTGTGTTAGCACAGAGTTTAAAGTGGTGGGACATACATTTCATTGCACTAAGGAACAAACAAAAGAAATCAAATCTGTATATAAATTTCCCTTTCCTCTCCTTACTATGTACTTTGCCTCTCATAAACAAGCCTCTGTATTATGAGGTAATGCCACTGTCTTGACTATATATAAAAATAATAAAGTTTAAAGGATATAGATCTGGGTATCTATAAACTTTAAACAAGCCAGTCCTCTCTTACTCCCCCAGAGGGTCCAACCAGCGAGTGCTAACCCTTCCATCACTGCTCCATGCATGGTGCTCTCCTGGGAAGCCCGAGAGACCTGTGCCCCTTTCCTAATCTAGGAAAAGCAGCCTGTGCTCAAGTAAGAAAGAGAGACAGTGCAAGTAATGCACAACAGGTTACACACACCTACACCTGCTCCTGCAAAACAAGCAGAGTCACAGAAGGCAACAGTGGCCAGCCTGCATGTGTGCGTTGGGTGCCATCAGGCAGCTGATGGCCGATTCCTTTTGCAGTTGCTCAAGAATAATGTCACTGTCCAGCCCAGGAGAGCCTGCACTACACCCGCAGGCAGCAGGGGGGAAGGTTCCACCCAGAGAATGGAGGGCCAGGAGGAGCTCTGCACCTGCAGTCAGGATGGTCACAGAGCAGATGGGCTGGCTCGTGCATCCAGGATGGCAGAGTCTGCTCTAGAGGCGCAGGGCAGTACTGGAGCCCAAGAAAATTTCAAGAGTGGAAAAGAAGTAGGAGGCAGGACTTTCCTCAATCCCAACACTGAGATCAGACTAGCAATGTTAATTTGGGTTGCCAACACATGTAAGTTGGCCACTGTCAGGTTTCTGTCAGTTGAGAAGTGTGGAGAAGGGGAGGAAGGGGAGGCAGGTAGGACACAAGGCTCATGAAAGACTGATGTGCTTTTTTTTTTTTTGGTTGACTTTTTTTGTGTTTTTTTCTCCTAAAGGTTCACAGCTTTGAATAAAAAAAGCACATTTATTGCACTTACACTTTATTTTAGACAGAGTTAATTTAAATTATGCCCTCACAACCCCCCACCATCCCCAAATAACCCAACACCCAAGTTTGGTCCATTTTTCCCCCTAGATCCAACATCCATGCCTAGATGATGGGCTTCATTTTTTCTCCTAATATACCACTGAACTCCCAAACACACAGATGGATTTTCTCTTCAACAAGGGTGAGTATACAAATGCAACACAGAATGACACTTATCAAAACAAAACCTGACCATCTTTCAAACCCAAATAAACAACAAAAAAAGAAAGCAAAGTTATTTTTGTGGTTTACTTGCTCAAAAGTAAATGTCACACAAAGCTTATTCTAAAGTACAGCTGCTGCAAACATGACAAACTAGACAAAATGACTAGACAGGCCACCCTTGAGGAGGCTGAACACACTGCTGCTGGATGCTATGAAGCAAATACTAGGTAGTTTAGAAGTTCCTAAACAAAAAACCAAAACAAAATAAAAACAAAAAACCCTCAAAACCTAAAAAGCACCTCCCCCATCCAAAAAAAAAAAAAAAAAAAAAAAAAAAAGACAAAATAACCATCACATGTACTTTTAGTGCAGAATTTGGGGTAGGTAGAAAGATTCCAGATAGTTCCCGGAACATAAGTAGAACATTTTTACACTTTGTTTTCTAAAAGGAATAAACCCAAATTAAAATTGATCCGATATCTCATATCAACTGTGCATTTAGACATAACCTCGTAAGTTACAATTATGCCAAAAGTCCTGCCCCAAGGAAGAAAAGATCTGAAAAAGCATTAATATCCAAACCCATTATTTTGTCCTTTATGGACAAGTAGGTTAAATATGACACTGATATGTAGGTACTGCCAGATTTCTGCATAACCAGCTGGAAATTTGAACAAATCAAATTCACACCTACTGGCTCTCCCTCAGCTGACAAGACACCTACCATCTCCCACAGTTCATGTGCAATAACAGGATGTGATCACTGAACAGCAACTGCAAGAGGCCCAGGGAAGCAGTGAGGAAACCTGCTGACATTCCAGAAACAGAACTTAGTGCCATTTTCTGGGACAAGGAACTAATTGTATGGTCTGATATATATATGTGAACCTTGATTATATGAATGCTAGCCACCAGTTTCTCCTCATCTAGCTCCCATTCTCCGTCTACCATCTCCTTCCAAGATGCTGTAAGAGTGTAACCTCAGGCCTCTTTGGAGCTTTCTTTAACAAGATCTGTGTCTTTGGAAGGGAAGGAGGCCTTACTGGTTTCTAAGTTAAATGAACCTCATTACCTGTTGATAGAGCAGATTTCAAGCAGCGGGTTTACTGTAACTAAATTCGGTATCCTTCAATCCTTATCTTTGAAATGCTAACAGGTATTTTGGGGAATGCTCTCTGCCCTCCTTGCTCCTTTACAGGAGTTGACCAACTCCAAACTACCTACCTAAAGGGATAGCTATATACAAAACTACTGCAGCAGATGTAAACCAAAGACACTGCTCTAGTTACAAAGCACCTGGTTTACATTCTGTTGTACTTCTTAAGGTTGCAAAGGCACATGATCATTTGGCAAACTACAAAAACTGTTTTGGGGGATCCCTATGTAAACCATTGAACAGAGGGTCTTGCTAGCTCTCTTTTCTAAACAAAAGAGAGAAGTTAGCTTGCATCTGAATTCCCTCTTGGTGTAGTCTGTATTCTGTAGCTTTTAAAGCCTCGTCCTTCCACAGGTTCATAGTTACTGCTAAGTCATGGTACTGACTTAGCAGCTTCTGTGTTAGCATCCTTGAAACTTAAATGCAAACTTTTTCATTTTAACAATCTGGCTCTGCTCTTCTGATAGTTTATTAGGTAAGAATCACAGCATCATAGAATATGCTGAGTTGGAAGGGACCCACAAGGGTCATCAAAGTCCAGCTCCTGGCCCTGCACAGGACACCCCAAGAATCACCCCATGTGCCTGAGAGCATTTTCCAAATGCTTCTTGAACTCTGTCAGGCTTGGTGCTGTGCTCACTGCCCTGGGCGGCCTGTTCCAATGTCTGACCACCCCCTGGATGAAAAACCTTTTCCTGATACCCAGCCTAAACATCCCCTGATGCAACTTAAGGCCATTCCCTTGAGTCCTGTCATTGGTCACCACAGAAAAGAGATCAGTGCCTGCCCCTCCTCTTTTCCTCACGAGAAAGTTGTAACTGCAGTGAGGTTTCCACTCAGTCTCCTCCAGGCTGAGGAGCACACCAAGAGACCTCAGTTGCTCCTCATACAGCTTCCCCTCCACCATCCTCATGGCCCTCCTCTGGACACTCTCTAATAGTTTATTACTAATAGTCTAACAGCAATAATCTTTCTTACACTGTGGCACCCAAAACTGTCCCCAGCACTCCAGGTGAGGCTACCCCAGCCCAGATGCCCCCAGGATAGGGATGTCCCTCCTGGCTGCCAGGGCACTGCTGGCTCATGTTCAACTTGCCATCGACCAGGAGCCCCAGGTCCCTTTGTGCTCTTCAGCCTCTCATCCCCCAGTCTATACACACAACCAGGGTTATCCAACCCAGGTGCAGAAGCCAGTACTTGCCCTGGCCAAACTTCATATGCTGGGTATGAAATCAGTATGAAGTAATAAAGCAGTGAAGACAGGTCTTTCAAATGCATGCCAAAACAAACACCAAGTGCAAATGCACAGTAACAATGCTGCAGTAAACAAAGTTTGTTTTATAAGCTTCTACATAAAATGCATCACAGAAAACCAGAACACTCAGCACCTTCAGAGTGATGCCCTAAGAGTCCACTCATGCAGCTGCTTTTTAACTTTTTAAACTTGGCTGTACCTAGAAGCTTTGCCCTCCCACTGTGCTAGTTGCGATACATTTTATCAAGAAAGGACACATTGTCTACAGTACTATGAAGAGTTTGTGCTACACACGCTGCACTCACAGTCAAGAAGGGAATGAAATCTAGAGGCTGCAAAAGTGTGAAATGTCGACATGCTTCTTCCCTAAATTTAGCCCCTCCAGATATCAAAGCTTCAATTCGTACTTGTTTGTGACATGTCTGTGGATCTGGCTTCTCTCAGCCTTCTGTAAAATGATGGATGCATTTACACCACCAGGCAAACACAGAAGAAAAACTATTTATGTGTGATCTTCAGGGTAGCTTTCCCCCAGTTTGGGCATTTATGGAAAGACATGGTATTTATCAACAATCAGAATTTCACTCATTTTGTCACAAAGGCCAAGTTCTGCCTCTAATGAGCACATACTAATCCAAGTGATGCTAAGACACCATGGTAAAATGACAGTATTTGTTCTCAAACATTCTCCATCATCATTAGCTGCTACAGCATTCAAGTACAAGAAAAGATGATTTAATGACCTGCATGAGTTCAGAAAGAAAAAAGAAATGACTGGGCTAATTGTATCTGGGGCTATGTAGGACTTAACTAACACAGAAATTACTTTCAAAGTAACCTGGCCTCTATATTCCTGCCATTTGGTTTGAGCTCCACCACAATATTGCAGTTCTGGCAAATATGCCAGGGGAAACAATCACATACTGAGCAGGAAGGTGTAACAGGTCTCTGTCACCTGTATGGAGAAGAAAAGGCAGAGGGGGAGGTCTGTGCCTGGTTGATAAAGACATAAACAGCTGGGATTGGATACTGGTACTTTTGCAAGTGATTACAAAATACAAGATACTAGAGAGCTAAAAGCTGCAGTATGACTCTCTAGGCGTATGTCCCAACACGTGCACACGAAGAATGTACTCACATTTCCATACTTTGGTATGTGCCTGTGATTGGGACACCACAAAGGAGCTTAAGGAATTTAGGGTAACAGGCATGAATGTATTAGTTATTTCAGTTTACTTCCTTCATCCCACTGCTACAGAGAGCACTCATTTCTCATCTATTCTTGTTTCCCCATTCACTAAATATCTACAGGGCATCTTTAAGATTGGCTCTGATGGCATGCAAGACATCCGGAAAAACTCCTGAAGGAAAAGATAAAACCAAAATAATCCCAATTATTTACAAACTACATTTCTTTCAAAGTTTTGCATGAGCATTACCTGGGAACTCTTACAGACAAACACACGTTACTACACCTATCTGGAGGGAAACAAACAAGGAAACCAGTAGAAATGCATCCTGAAAGGATTTCTCTAAACAGCAGCCAAACAACTTGCACATTCCTCAGGAAAAAAAAAAATATATAACAAAACCAGAAAAACAGAACAAAAAAAAAAAAAAAAAAAAAAAAAACAAAAAAAAAAAAACAAAAAAAAAAAAAAAAAAAAACCCAAAAAAAAAAAAAAAAAAAAAAAAAAAAAAAAAAACAACATTACAAAGAAACAAACTCAAATAAAAAAAAACCCCAGAGATCATGTATTACTTATAAAGTGCTTTGCATGGACAAGGATAGCAATTTTCCTTGCGCTTTTCCTATGGGCTCAAGAAGCATATTGTAGACTAATGGGTAATGAATCTTCACCAAATTAAGTTCTTTTAAGCACAGATAGAATGAAGTTCCTAACAGAGAATTTTCTGCCAGCATGACTTTGTGGAAGGAAATGAGAACTTTTAACAAGCTCTGTGATACAAATGTGTTTGTTGAACCACCTGTCCATACTTGCTCTGTTAACAGCTTCTTTTGAGAGAACCTTGACCTCAGTATCACTGACATGTAAAAATGGGGCCACAGCCCACAAAGGGGCAGGAGACAAGCACGGGGTGAAAGGAGAAGCAGGGACTCCTTTTCCCCTGGGAGACTGTATCTGGTAAATGCTCTCACCTGCCTACTGCCACCATGGCCCCAGGCTCCCTCCAACTCTCAGGTACTGGCCTCAGATGATCACCTGGGAGCATTTCAACTGCACCATCTGCTACCACTGCTCTGCATCAGCTTCTCCACACTCATAAGTGACTATTGCTACTTTTTAAATTCCTGCCAACCTCATTAAGGTAAAAATCTTACAGCATCTGAAGACCCACAGCAGACAAGAAAACAAAATTGTGCTTTTTTTTTCCTTCGTTTTTAAAATGCGTCCCGTACACAAAATCAATTCTATTCATGTACCAACATGAATCACTTCATTCTTGTAGTGACTATTAAGTCATTCACTATTGCTATCTTGCTAATGTTTGTGGAATTAATATGAATACACAGTATTTCAGTTTTAATTCCCACTTCAGATCAGTCCGGTCCCTATAGCCCCAATAAATATTTACTGACAAATGTAACAGACTACCAGTAACACCGCAAAATTCCAGGGTATTAAAAACGCCTTCTACTTCCCATGTGCTTTTCTCCCTTCAAATGGGAGCAACCTTCTCCAGACAGGAACAGCCCCACTTTCCCCAGGGAGGGAAGGACAGCACCCTCACTCAGTACATCCACGTTTAGCATGGACACCACATTCACACACACATTTAACTCCTTCATTTATGTGTGGTGATTTTGTTAAACACTCCTCACTTTTTCCCAGCAAGAACCTTCCTGCTAGAGGGGGGTCAGTTCTCCTGCCTCACCTGGAGTGGTACAGGGCTGATATGAATCAAATTCTGGAAACTTCTGTCCGAGCTTGAGTTTCTTTCCAATGTGGTCCGCCTTGCCTCTGTACAAATAATTTACAGGTAATACCACATACAGAGAGCTTTGCAAGCAGATCACATCACGAGATAGTCTACTAGAGGTAAATGATGTGCAGAACTTTATGTATTGTTGTTTTCCCTGACTGGGTAATTTCAAAAAGCTACTAACCATTTGAAAACCAGGACTGGAGGACAGGAAAACAAAGCACTCTAATGGAGATACCGCCACCTTCGTCCTAGTTTGCCAAGTGTACAGAGGGGAAAGACAAGCAGAAGGGAAGAGATGACAGGAAGGAAAGCAATGAGAGGAGGAGTCAGCGTGGATCCAGCAAGTACCGTTTTGTTTTGATCTAACAACTTGCCATTAGGACAAGATGCTCCACATTTACACACACACTTATCAGAGGACGTTCAGTTAACAGGATAAAAATCCTTTAAAAAAAGCTCTTGAAAGTACCAAAACATAATTTTTTGGAATGTCTAATTCTAGGGGGGATTGTATTTGTATTCAATTCAACCTGAGAACTTTTTTCCTCATTTATGAAAACATTACATATTGGTAAGGTACCTGGCATTAACCTGCACCCTAGTTTAAAATAAAACTTTTAAAGTAGGTACATACACCATTCACAGTCTGTATCAGGATTTCTACAGACTTTAGATGCTGCAATAACATCTTTGATAAATACATTGTATCATATGATAAAAAAAAAAAGAGAGGACAATCTCGCTACATTTGTTTTAAACTTCAGTTTGTTGCTGGACCAACAAAAGGAGGATTGATCTAATCCTTCAATAAGATGTTGTATATGCACACACCAAGAAAATACTGGAAAAGGAGAAAGGTTAAGGATGGTGGTGGTTTTTTGTTCTTTTTAAGAAGTGGTAAAGTAAATCTGAAAAGGTGTGGCAGCATCCCCTTTTCCTTCAGATGAACCTCTCTGCCTTCAGAATAACATCTCCAGCTCCCACTGCCCCACACTTTTAATTTTAAAGGAATAAACACCAGTAATATAGACAGATTGAGGTGTTTGACACTGTAATACAGCGAAAAGGGGATACTGCATTGTCCATAAATCAGTAAGTACACCAGGAAAAAAAAAAAAGGATCAGAATGGAAAATTATTCTTTGAAATTAGCACTCATCAGACGTTCAGCCTCTGATGGTTAGCTCTTAGAGGGAGAAAGGCGGCCGGCAGACCATCCAAAGCAAGTCTCCTAAGTGGCAGCAGCAGCACAGTCACACCAGAGCGCCCTCTCCTCTCTCCTGGGAATGATGCCAACAGCACAGGCAGCCACTGCGGGTCTCCGAATGCACGTGGTGGTTTGTATTGAAGGAGAAACACTGGCAGCAGAGGACTCTGGTTTCCAAAAAGGTACTTTTTCCCATTGTGTTGGACTGGTGGTTCCATTCTGCTCCACTTTTAAGCTTATGGATATCTTTTCTAAATTACTTTAGGTTCTGCGGAGCAGAATGGAGTTTTGATGTTAAGAAACTGTAGGAACACAAGACTTAAATAACAGAGTGGGTGCTGCCATGGTGCTGTGGCTACTTGAACGCTGCAAATTCTCCTGTAGAGGGAGGACAAGAGCTTGGTTTAAGTCATGGTTTAAAAAGGTGATTTCAGTTATGAGACTAGTTGAACATCAGGCTAAATATAAAAGATGTTAAAAAATGCAAACGGTTAAAATTAAAGCACAACAGTGAGAGAACATTGAATACAGACCCAGCATATTTAACCAACAAAAGATTTCTTGAAAGCAAGCCGTACCCATTCTTCCCAAGAAGGTGAAAGTTCAAGCAAAGTCTAATTCATCATGCATTTGAAAATTAAATGTGTCAGTTTACTTTGACTTTAAATTCCTTATTGCACATATGTCCTCCTGAGAAGCACCAGTTTCAATAATGCATCCAATTGCAAACCAGTTCTGTTCTGTTGTAAAACTGAGTTAATAACAAAGAACTATATGAGACATCCATTACCCTTTAAAGACTATATACAGTAAAGTGCCTGAATAGAAAACCAGTGTTACATAGTGCTAGGATTTGGTTTAGAGACCAGCACAGTAACCCACTGACAGAAATATAAGAATGGAGAGATTGTCTACTCAACCCCAGACTAGAAATTAGGTCTCACTTACAGGGAGCATAACAAATAAAGCAACTCCATGCTTCCTTCAGAATTACTGAATAAAGAATAATTATATGCAGTGCTTTCACATGTGATGATGTCCTGAAATCCTACATAATTTGTTTTGTGTCACTGTGCTGTGAGACAGACTCATAGTCCCACTTCTGAGGGGATGCAACTATGGCACAGAGTAAAATTGCTGCCTGAAGTCTTTCAGGAGTTTCACAGAAGACTGAATAGAAGCTGAGTCTAAGATATTAATCCTCTTAATCCTATACTTGAGGAAAAAAAAAAATTCCCTGCCACCCACAAAGAAATTGTATTCTATAGGATTTTTAGTGAGGGGTCATAATCAAAAGGACTCAGGAGAAAGAGAAAAGAAACCTAACTTGCCCATTTTGGGTTTCATAAGCATTTAGAGTTAGTTTATGTCACTTTCTTGACAGCCCTTCTCTGAGCTTCCCTAAAACTGAAGGAGTGATAAGCAAGCACAAGAGAGCCTTTATTCTGTTCAACAGAAGGGTTTTGAATACCATTACATGCAAACAACTGCTCCCTATCTGGTGTCCTTCCATCTTTTCAAGAGCGATTGTATTGCTGTCTTTGTTTTTCTCAAGATTCTTATTCTAAATACTGGAAACAAAACAGAAACATCCCTGCAAACAAAATTTTAGGCTTAGAGTGTTAATTCTGTGGAATGCCTTGCTCTGCAAAGAGTAGAACCAAGAAGAGTAGTCAGCTGTCTGCACTAGGAGGGGGAAGAAAAGTCATCTAAAAGGCCTGTGAGGAACAGCTGACCCAGTTCTAAAGGAACTTGAAGAAAGCAGGGAGAGGGCTATGTGTCTCACAGGAAATGAGAAGGGAGTACACCTGAAGTCCAAAGTAAGGGTGGCACAGGGAGTTGTGACAGGCCTCAAGCTCTGTGTCTTTATAGATTGTGGTGGCAGGTTTAAGTTATAAAAACAATAGAATAAAAGCTTCATGATGGATCTAATTGCCTATTTTACTAGTTCTAGCACCATATCAAATTCCTGCTCTAAATACTGGATAATTTTTCCTTGCTTTTTTCTGCTACATTTCACTAACTTCTCAACTCTCTTCATAGTATCTTCTAGAAACACCTCAAGTTTTGTGCATGTTTTCTTTTAAGAGAAGGACAAAAAAGTGACCAAGTATTGCCTGTGAGGTCAATTTTTAAGTGACATTTATGCTTAGCTATACTTTCAAAACATGTTCTATTTAATTTATTTTTCAGTCTTCCTTTCTAAACTGGTGATTAAAGATAAATTTATAAGAAAGAGATTGCTCCCTCATGTCTCATCTTGTCCTTCTGCCTATTTCTGGTAATAATTCAGATTTTAATGGTCATATAGGAATTTCAGAAAAAAAAAAAAAAAGAACCTTAAATTGGGAAAGAGCAATGGAAAAACAGGACCAGAAGTAAAGAATTTTGAGATAGAATGGTAGCTTTAGAAAGGTAATTTTCACTTTCCTGCCATTTGAACAAATCTTAGCAACCGTATTTTCTTTGACAAGCTAATGCTAAATCTCCCCTTTTAAAATTCCACTGTTAATCCGATCTCAAATCAATAGGAGACCAAAAATAGGTAACATGGTCATCTAATAAGGGGATTATGTTGGCTGAATAGGTGTAAAATGAAGTTGCCAGTAACAGCTTTCCCTAGGTGAGGTATGTACATGGCTATAGCTATTCACACCAAGCTAGGAAACCACATGCTTAGCAACTTGCTACAAGAGAAAACCCCAGATACTTATATTCATTGTGAGCCAGACATCTGAGGTGCTTTTTATCAAGCAGAACTGCAGATATTTTCTTTGAGTGGTAGCAAAGCAATTTCTTTCCAAAGGATGGAGAGCATCTGAAAATATCCACTTCTTACAAACCCCTTTCAAGTCAGCTACTACAGTCTCTTCATGCTTGTCTCATGCAGAGCAAGTGGAAACTAGTTTAAATGCACGCTTTCAAAAAATCTGTACTAAAAAGATGATCAAGATCTTTCATGTTGCCTCCAAACAATGTATTACAAGGGCATGTTCTGAGTGAACCTGCTACCCCCAGTTCCTGGAAGGATTTAAGATGCAGCTACCATTCTGTACTCTCACAAATTTGTAAGCTACCTGAATTCATGGGGTTAGTAAGATACACACATCATCTTAAGTGCACTCCTTATCCAGGGGTAGATGCCATGTTTCTCAGAAGAATCATAAGAATGGTTCCCTTCCAGACTGTGCCAGTCTTACCTACTGAACTAGAGACTGACTGATTTATTGATTTATTGTAGGGAAACACCAGATTCCAACACCTTGACTGGTTTATATTCACAGATACAGAAAAAAAAAAAAAAAAAAAAAAAAAAAAAAAAAAAAAAGAGGCAGTTTTCTGCTGTATCTTGTGCTGATCTTTTGTATGGATACTATCCACTGGGTAAGTAAAAATTTGGAACATGTTGAAGGTACCAAGACAGATTTTGCTTCTGCACTTTATGTAGGGAAGTAAAATAAAAAGGAATCTCACCTAGTATAAATTACTCCTCCAGAAAAGCTTAGGATCCTACAGGCATGTTTTCTGAATGAACAGGTATCTATATCTAAACAATACAGCTGAGTTACACCTTTGAGAACTCTGACCCAAATCCACAGGTGTAGTTAGGCACCTTCATCCCACACATACTCCCAAATCTCATTGAAGCAGCAATTAGAACTTACAGAAGTGAGACCTCTAAATGCCTCTTTGTCAGATAAAGTTAATGATCCACAAAACAGCCTCCTTTTAGGCTTCATAAAATGTTTAGTGAGAAACTAAAATCACATTATGGCCATGGAACCCAAAATGCTCAGTAAGAACGGGTGACACAGGAAGAAGGCACTGACCATACAGCAGGAAATGGGGCCAAATGTGTCTAAGGATGGCAGCATTTACCCCCCATAATTGTAGCTCTGATAGCACAGATGAACAACCTTAACAACAAGAAGGATAACACTACTCCAAAGAGTAGTGGCTTGAACTGATCTGTCAGACCTGAACAAGAATAAGCCTGGGCAGGGCAATGGTGATGGTTCTGCACTCTCTGCAACTTGCTGTGTGGGTAAGACTTTTCTGTGTGGGATGCCCCATTTCTAGATTCTGCAGGAGACCCTGTAGCATCCTCTTGCTCTGTACTGAATACCACACCCCACAGCTCTGGAAACTTTCCTCATCACTGCTAGAACAGATACATAAAATAAAAAATGAGAGGAAAACAATACTTCAGTCCTGTTTTCATTTTAAGATAAGCCTGCCAAAATGAGGTGAAGCTACCAGGAAGATGGGAAACTGATTTTCTAAAACAATAATAACTTTTGTCCTCTGTAACTATTCCCATAGAGAAAGATTTGAACAGCTAAATTTTCTTGACAAAGAAAAGGAGAAAAGTTAGTTCCCAAACTATTCCAACAGCAGAAGCCAAAAAGACCATTATAATCCATCCAGAAAATGTAAAAATTGCCTATATCTCTTCAAGCTCTCTAAATGTGCTTCCCATTTTAAAAGGCTTAGTTGCCAGACAGCAGTACACCAAAACATTTCAGAATTCCTGATCTATTTCAAAAACATATTCCTAGCAACAGGCAAACTTCTCCATGAGTATGTATATCAGAAGCTACTAGAACACTCCTGGCCCTTGAAGTCCTAACAAGAGCAGAAATAGCTTGTTTCCAATGCAGAATAATCTGTGAAAATTAACAGTTTAGCAGTTTAAACCACGTAAAACCACATAACTCATCTCAAAACATGCAAGAATACTGTTTCTATATCTTATTTTCATATCTGATATTAAAGATTGATATAACCTGAACCACTACTCTGATGCCCTTGCTCCAGAGCAACACTCTAGAGAAAAATAGTCTCTAATGTGAGCTGGCAGGATCTTGGTAAGGTGTCTAACTTTCTCAGTTAGATATCTAGTCCAACAGATTCACTTCTGCCTAGTCAAACTAGCAGCTTTTCCATGGAAGTGAAATAATCGATTTGTCACTGAAGAAAAGCACGTTCAGTGTATTCTTAACAATATTAAAATAATCAACACCTTTCATCTTAAAGCTTGTAGTATAACACTGATTTCCACGAACAAAGCTGCTTTTTCAAATCTTATTTTCCTATAACGGGTGTTAGCAGCACTTTCCCTCTTAAAGCACTTGGTCGTGCTTGAGATATAAAATGTTTTTATAAATTTTGAAATCCCTACTAATTGAAGGATACAGGCACCATTACCAGTAATAGCCTTGCAGCTTGGCAAAAGTGGATTCAGAATTTCTTCTGTGGTGCATTGTAACAGAACCTTTGCAGATGGTGATACGATATCAGGACAGAATATTTAGAAAAAATTGTAACACAAAAAACCACATTCATCACTCTTCTGTAGGAGAAATGTTCCCTAAAACAGTACTAATTTAAACTTCTACTTTCAAGATAAGAGTCACATGTTATTCAGAGCTTTCTTTGGATTCTGTGTTGTATCTGCTCACCTCCTTGTCCACAATAAAGTTTTGACTATGCTCAGCCTTGAAGCTAAATTTATCTTTCCAAGTGTTTCCCACATGAATAGCCTAACTAAATGAAGAATCTAAAGCTTTTTGTTCAAATATAATGACCTCAAATGAAGTAAAAAACCCCAAAACCCCCAAAACAACAGACCACCATAACTTGAGTAGATTCAAATCAAATACACTCCTGAGAAACTAGTTCAAATCAAAAATGACACCCGATGACCTTAAGAAGATTTTTGCTCATTTTGAAGTGACTTTTCCCATGTCTCTTACGTGACATTGCAGTTCTTCTTGTGCCAGCTGTTCCCAGGGCACTAATCACCAACACAGACTCTGTGCTGGGAACACTCAATGCCCAGTGTTAGGAAGTGAGTCTTTGTTCCCTCAGTAAACCCTACAATCGGAGCTGGTAGGAACTGAGAACAAACACCCTGCACTCACAGGACACACCAGCACACAGACACACAGGCACATGCTTTCACATTTTGGTTCAGTGCACTGGAAACCCACCGTATCCCCCTGCTTGGATGGGTGTTTTTGGAGAAGCACAAGCATATAGACTAAAATCCTCTGTCTGGAAGCCAGCCCGGTTCAATGAGGGCTCAGATGCACTGCGGTGAATTTTTGGCAATGACCGGGCCAGAAGCTCAATGGAGGCAAGAATCTGAAACATAGAAAATACGTGATCAAACCTGCTGTTCCAAAGCTGTGACTCTCTCTTAAAACCAAAGGCACAATATCAATTAACTACAGAAGAATATTTAAACACCTATTTAAAAAAAATGATTTTTAAAATATAGTTTACTGCACTGTACTCTTAATGTTTATATCCTAAGGAAGCTGAAAAGGACAGCTGGGGAATTTCCCCCTTTTCAAAGGCACACTGCTTGCCTCTAAGCACAGTGAAACACTCGCTTTTTATTGGACTCCTTGTCTATGCCCTAGTACCTGTACCTGCCATTGCTGCAAACAAACCCAGCTCTGCCAGCATTTTGCTTAATAACATTTACCAAAAAGTCAGCAGGGGGAGCTCCTTATCTTTTGAAAACAATTTGGTTACATTCAAAACAGGAAAAAAAATCAGATTTTTGCCCTCCTTCCCCTCAAGCTTTTTGAACCCAAACCTTCCTCAGCAGGCACGATAAAAATCAAGCTCTGTGGCAAAACTATCTGTTTCCCTTCATGAAGCTTGGGGGAGAGCAAGGAGGGCAGTGTAAACATTTCTGAGCACATATACTAATTTGTGTGTCTAACTGTGACTATTACTTTCATTATCTCCCAGCTGAAACGTTCTCCAACATGTAAATACTTTTCCAAATACACAGGTCATTTTAATACCTGCGGTTTGAAATTAAAATGAGCCATTTCTAATTAAACAGAACTAACCAGGTACTGAACCAGGTCTCTTATCAAACTCTGCCACAGCACTAATCAAAAAAATTTGGAACTGGCCAACGAGTTCACAACTTTGAATTGTAAAGTCTGTTGAGAGCTAAAGAAGAGCATTTTTCACCTGTGGAAAAAGGGGTCTCTCATCTCTTTTCTTTTTTAAGCATTCTGCCATTAGTCTCTTCATAGCTTTGGGACAGTTGCTCCGTACTTTGCTGAGGTCTGGAGATAGGTATCCTCGTCCCACCATGAAAATTATCTTTATTTAAGGGGAAAAAAGATGAAAGAGGAAGAAGGTGAATTGATAAAATAAACAGTAACAAAAGGTGAACATTTTGCTATACTATTTTCGTTGCAGCAACAAGCTTTCTGCTTCCAGGAAACATTATCTGGTATTGAAATTGACAAATTTCTTAGAGTAACGCATGATAACCTATTCAGCACAGAGAAAAAATTAGATCTTTCCTCTTCCTCAGAGAGATTTCTGTGGAACTTGAACACTAGTAAATGGTTACCATTTATAGCAATAACCATCTAAGGAACAGTTCTTCAGTGTCAAAAACTGACAAAAACAAGAACAAGCAACTCTGTCGCAGGAACAGAATGTCTAAAAATAAATATTCTGTAAAAAGAAATATTCTGTTTTATATTACAAATCAACAACATCTTCACATTGAAAGGTATTTTAAGAAACACATGGACTTTGGATATTAAAACCCTTTACCTTCTGAGAATTGATTTCATCACATACTTTTCCAACACAAGCTTTTTCTTGACATCTGACCACCTCCCCCACTCTCAAAAAGAAAAAAAAAATCTCAAAAGAAAGAGAGAAACTCCCTCTTTCCTGTAGAAGAGGAGACAGACAGGCTTGGTATTTTTACACTAATTCTTTCAACATGGGATGCTTACATTTCCCCTAACGATAAAACTTTTGCATAAAACCAAGTAAACTGATAGGAAACAGGAAAACAAAGCATAAACATGGCTAATCATTTCTTGTATATAAAAAAAACCATCAAACATCATCATGTCAAGCCACGGTCATTTGCAATGTGGTTTGAGTACTGCAGTAGCACTAACACTAAAAAGCACTTCCAAACCAGCTAATCAAAGATCCATTCATGCTGCAGCAGTAATCACTGCCTTTTCTGAGAACTCAGACAACCCAGTAGGTCTATCACACCTTTTCTCTAATGAAGTGTAACTATTTCATATCTTGACATTGGCAAAAAAAAAAAAAAAAACACAACAGAAAACCCTCACTTCTCAAGCATGCTATACATGTTATTTATACTAACACAATCCTAGTCCTTTTCTAACTCTGCTTCAGTCACAACTGTGTTGGCATCAAGGAGGAACAGAAAACTCCCATATGGTTCCTGTAGAAATCCCCATGTGCTGAGTAGGATTTCATAGTAGAGGTTTTTGTCCTGCATCCCTTACCTCTGCTGCAATCAGACTTACCATTATCCAGCCGTTGGTATTTTCTAAATAATGGCACAAGTTGAAATTATTCAAAATTCATTACTCTTTATGTTTCTAATAGTTTCTTTACAAATAATATAGGTGCTAATCTTTTATTTTAGACTAGAGAAAAGAGAGTATCACTACAAGAACAATCTAGAAAAATCTATTGAAGTGAGAGAAACACTCTGAGGCATAACAAGAATGACACTTTGCTCACTAAAAATCTTGATTGTGTTATAGTAGCTGATATAGATGCACCAGAGAGTGAGGAATATTTACAACTTTTCATGTAATAGGCAAGGAGTGACAGAACTCAAGACATTAGATCCCATATGTTGGCTTCACTTGCATTTCAAGATTTGTTCCAGCACTTCATTGTAAGCACCCACATCACTGGGTTCATCTTTCAGATCTCAAAAGGTAAAAGCTAAACAAGGCCAAATACTGCTTTTAGAAGGCTGGATCCATCTGGCCAGGAATCCAGACTTCTCCCAAAAGTCAAAACCAAAATTATAAAAAAGAAAAAAAAAAAAAAAAAAGGAGTCACTCCAAATTTGATGAACTGGGATGAACTGTTCTGGCAGATAGGGAAGCAGCCTTATAAAATGGCATTCACAGATGAACGTTGCTATGGTTTCAATTCTCAAGTACTGACAGGGAAAAAACAAGGGATGAGGACACAGAAGCAACAAATACATCACTGCTCAGACACAGAATAGATTACACCAAAGATCTTGATGCACAGATGCTGTTTACAGGTTACACAGCAATAATGAATCAGGTGTGCCTTCCCAAATGTGCCTATCCCATGGAGATGTATTACGGCGTGTGGGATCATTAGGACTTGAGGACTATTTCTTCACAATTAAGTAATCTCCTTACAGGATCCTCATACTCTCGGAAGTTATATTGTCCAACAAGCAGGATTTGAGAAATGCCGATATCCTGCAAATCAGTTAGATGGTGCATGCTCTCTCAAAGTTGAAATTAATATAAAACACTCAGTGAGGTGACTGCTCTTCTGTTTTGTCAGTCCTTTAGCTGCACTATTTATTATTCAATGCAAGTGGAGGGGTGAGGGGAACGAGAAGAATAACTGAACACACATATGGGGGATCATTTTGCCTCTGCAGAACTATTCTAAACTAGATTACTATTAAGTAATCTGCTCTCTCCCTAATAAGTATCCTGGCAACCAGTCCAGAAGCTGAAAATCTATACTTAAAATAAAAAGAACACAAAAAATATCTCAAGAGAATTAAGTAAATTGTTGCTATGTGACTGAGGCAGATCTAGAAAATGCAGAAATGTCCTCTCACAGCATGAGAATCAGAAACATCAAACACACAGAACATCAGAAAGTTCACCACGCAAAGCTGTATCACTCTCTGTTTCAGACCACACTTGACTGAAGTCAGTGCCTCCCCTTACCTGGTCCCTGTTGTTGATGTTGGAGTATGGCAACTGTCCGGTCATCAATTCATAGAGAACAATCCCAAATGCATACACATCCGACTGAAAACTATATGGGTTTTTATCTTGCATCCTAATAACTTCTGGTGCCTGTATCAGAAAAGGCAAGAATTAGTTTTTATTTCTCTCCCTTGTGCTGCACCTCACCTACCTACCAGGAACAAAAGATGGACTTGTCCAGGGTACAGGTGCAAAAGGCCCACTCTTGCCTTCAGGTGTTACTGCGTCCTAACATGGAGTGGATGCTGACATGAGTATCAAAATTCATTGCTTCATTTAAGCTTGGTGATCCTTTTTACTCCTCTATGACAGAGCAAAATGACCTTGGCCAGGCTGAGAACATAGTTGGAAACTAGAATTCTAAGGACAGTGAAAATAATGCCAGCTAACAGAACTTTAAGTTTTTCCAGGGAGAAAAAGAGGAAGTGGAGCTGCACAGGAGATTGTAGTATGAAACAACTCTTCATGAATCCTTAAAACTTAAGAGCATCATACTTTTTGCTGAGCTAGTTCCTCTACTCTTTTGCAGGATCTTTTGCAAGGCTTTTCTCACCACCTCCTCAACCCTAGATTAATGCTACTCATTTTCCTTAGCCACTATTTTAATTTCAGTATAAACCTCAGAATAAAAGATGGAGACACTAAAGTTCTTCTGCTGACTACTGGAAAACACATGCTTAAAGAAAAATTGAAAAACATTTATTTACTACTTTGTATTACTGCTCGTCTTTTCCAGCTTTATCCAGCTTTTTATATGTCAGTGTGCCAGAGGGATAGGAGCAGGAAGTTTGGCCAGAGGTAAATAAATTTGTTGAAACAAGCTCACCACTTTCCCCTTGCTTACCATCCATAGAATGGAACCAGACAACTGCTCAAACTGTTGGGATCCACTCCATCGTGATTTCACTGTAGCTAGACCAAAATCACCTATTTTTACTGTGAGGTCTTCATGAAGAAAAATATCTAAGGGGGGAATGTTAAGGAAAAACAGACAAGCAGTGCTGGCCCTGTCCTAAAAGAACAATGAACAGCTACAAATTTGCAATATGAACTTGACAGTTTTAACCATTCAGCATCACTGAAGAAAGTTTCCACATCACACAGGTTTTAAGCAGCCAGCACGGTGGATTATAGTATGTAAGGGTTATGTAAGTAATGCCTGGGCCAGTGCTGAACAGACCATGGCCAGGTGGCTTTCATGAAGTGCCAAGTATGAGAAAAGCTGAAAATGTTCCATGAGCCAACTCACATAATCTTTCATTACATGAAGAAATCAAAGGATGCAAAAAAATCTTTCTGATACCAACTAAAACCCCTTACATTATTACAATCAAATCAAAAGATACAGCAAGCATCTCCTATTTTTGTTATTAGTGAAAAATAATTCATTTTTTCACTTTTAATTCACCTTCTTAGTGAAACTTCTATTTGGCAAATATTCACACATGAACAGCTTTTCACACCAGTAAGTTAATTTCTGTCAGGAAAAAAGCCCAAAACAAAAATCAGGAATGCTTTCACTTTCCAAAATTACATCTCCGGGAAAGGATACTATTACTCTTGAGGTCTCTGTGGATGATTGACTTGGCATGCAAATAACTGAAAAGGAATATCATAGATTAGGTGGGTTAGATAATACTTCACCAATCAACGATTCAAAATTCACTGTACCACTGAAACATAAATTCTGTTGACATTCAAACTGCACATTCATGCAGGCAGTAAAACTTCAGTTACCCATGACAGTTTCTGCAACATTCACAGGAAAAAATAAAATTAAGCTTTGACTTCCAGCTCAAATCTCATGCTACTGATGAATAACAATTATGCTCCAACTTCTGCTTTTCAATTCTAACCCAATATTCACAGTAACAAGAATTTCACGGATTTCTTTCATGCAATTCTGTGGTGAAATTTCTGCTTCCCAGCCTTAATGGGGACTGTCAAGACTTTGTGAGCTAGTCACAGCTTTAGATTAGGTGTTTCTGAATTGCAGGAGCTAAATGTGCTGCCCAGTCTCAGTGTGTACTCGGGTACACTGACTGCTTTTTAGTAGAGGAGTGGAAAAAAGATTCTCTGATTGCAGCCTGGATAAACAGATGGCAGGGAACACAGAGGAAAGCACTTGCCCCACAGCAGATACAGCCTGAATTAGTCTCCCATGGCTCTTTGTTTAGTCAATGAGATTGGCACAAAACTGCTGGAAAAGCCCCAATTTGTGTCTCTGCTTCGAATCGTGTTCACAAAACAGTTTCTGCATCTCCCCTACCTACAGATGGAGCCTGGGGAGATGCACAGGCTAACAGAAGGCTAAGGCTGGAAACACCTCCATCCTCTTGACTGAAAATGTAATGGAGTACTGAGTAGAAAAATGGCACAATGAACTGCAATCATCATAGTGTTTTTTCAGCTGAAGTGCGATTTCTCTGGTCTTACAGCGGTGTTCTGATTTTGACACACAATATTTGGCTAGTTTGGTAAATTCTAACTCAATGGCCCTCTATGGGAGTAAGGATTATTTACAATCCTTACAACAAAACAGGGATGTTCTCTTCAGATATTGAAACCTGTTATTCAGAGAGCTCTGATACTTCCACCAAATGCTTTGATGATTGAGACAGGACCATGGGCTCAGCAAAGTGAGCAGAGAGCTGGCCTTATTTGCCAATGCCAGCCAGAGTGTGAAGGGGATAAGTAAACATTGCCCCAGTGCTCATTTGCAGATAAGTAATTCAATACTTACTCCATGCCTTGTGCAGTCTGTCGTGCAATATCAATTAGCTTGATCATTTCAAATTTGGTCTCAATGATGTGTAGATGATGATACAAACTGGACCCTTCACACCATTGTGTAACAATAGCCAACTGGGGTTTTGTTGAATAACCCATGAAAAGCAGGATATTCACATGTCGTGTTTTCCTGTTTACAAAAAAAACAAGAATCAGGAGGAAATCAGACCAGGATATCAGGAAAATCCAGGTAGATCTATCACAGTCTACGTATATATTTCCAAACAGAAAGTGTTGGATCAATCTCAGTCTCTTACTAGATTAATTTAATTAATTATTCCTGAAGTTAGCCTTTCTTGTCATACTAATATGGAATAAGTAGTCTGGGGTAACTGAAAAATGTCAGAGCTCTTTTATGTTTTCTTATATTAAAAAATTGCCATGGGATCCCAGCGTGTGATCCCTTTGTCCTTGCAGCAGTGTGGACTAGGACAGTTCTATGCTGTGTGACTGGGCCTTTTTCAGGTTCAAGAATTTGTCACGTGATGCTGAGAGTAACTGCTGAAGAAACAAGAAGTAAGCAGTTGGCTGCAAATTCTACCACAAAGCTAAGTAAAGATGAATCATAATGGAGAAAGTACAACTGTAGGAAAATCTGCCTTGTCTGGGTCAAAGGATAGAACAAGTGACTATGTATGTTGAGAAACAAACAGGCTGGGCTTCATCCAATGGACTACCAGCAGAAAGCTGGAGTAAGATGTTTGATTTCATTCAGTTCTCACACCATTCTGTAAAGACAATGAAGAGATACCCAAAGCAGCACACCCAAGAAAGCCTCTACTTCCACAGCTATGAACTTAAGAGTTTTTGGAAGCAATATTTTCCTAGGGTAAAAGGCTGACCATTCCCTTTTACCATGTAGATTATTTGGGATGTTTCTGCAGCATACGTGCCCAGCTCAAGCCATCAGGTTTCCAGGGACAAAAACCTTCTTGCTATTTTGTTTTTTAAAACACAATTATCCTCAACACAGCTCCAGATTGTACTTTGATGTAATGTTTCTTCACAATATATACTCTATCATATTATGCTGATGGATCTTCTTTTAAGAGCTGAACCCAAACCAAATACTTCCTTGGAGACTGTGGAAGCAGTAGACATGAGAAAATGAAATAATGAAGTGACTTCATAACAATTATATAAAAAAAAACAACCAAAAAAACCCAAAAAACCTCAGAGAAATTAATGTTACTGAACAGAAGCTATTGAACAACAGATAATATGGGCAGGACTGTAGCTGAAAAACCAACCACTAGTCAGGTTCTCCTTCAATTTCAAAATGTGAATGAGAGGAAAGAAAGGCCTGCAGTTCACACTTAGGCTTGACTGTGCCCTGGGGGTAGTACATTAGCAGAAACTAGTTCTGAGTGTTTGGACATATATGTATTGACAACATAGGTATGCAGACAAACACATACAGTGGGTACAACAAAATATTTTTAAAAGGCTATTTTTTCTGCCTGAAGTATCATCATGTAGGAGTGAGACCAATGTGTTCCAATGGAGATCTAAAAATTAAGTGATTAATGAAGCACAAATCTACACACATTATTTCATGCCATTAAAAATATTCTTACCTGAGCACTCCTACTTCATTTTTGAAAGCCTGTAACTGTTGAGGTGTGGGTGCTGTAACATTCAACATTTTCACTGCCACATCACCTTTAAAACAGCAAGTTTTAGTAAGTGCCATTGATACTTATTCCTCTCTTGAGAAAATGCTATAGAGAGCATCAGAAATTTTGGGATACACTGTTTTTTTAGCTTACATGAAATAAATCACTACAATTTTAAAGTAAGCCAATATTTAGTAAAATGTAGAAATTCTGTTCTTACTTTACTCTGAGAAATCAAAGCCAGGCCAAAGCTATTGAAAATACACATCTGAAATCCTCATTCATCAAGATGCATACTTCTGCCTTTCTAATGTTTCATCTTTATTCTAATAATTTCTCAGTTCAGAAGAACATGCAAGAGTTGAGTTTCTAAGCAATATGAAGTTCTTACACTAGTTATTTAGCACACTACTTATTAATTTAAAAATCATATTTACTGTGCTTCATTGCACTCTCCTCATTATGTCACATCTCTGTTGTTCTGAGGAAGCCCAGAACTCGGCCCAGCATTCCAGTGTGGCATCACCAGTGCTGAGGAGAAGGATTGCCTCCCTTAACCTGCTGGCAATGCCTAGTGCAGCCCTGGAGCCCATCCTCCCTCTCTGTGGTATGGACACATTGCTGGCTCAGCCTGGTGCCCATCAGAATCCCAGGCTTGTTTCTGGGAAGCTGCTGTCCAGCTGGGTGTGCCCTGGCAGGCACTGAGACCTCCTCAAGAACAGCTGTTTGCCATCATGGCCACATACCATGCCACTTTCCTTTGTAGACTGTTCCAAACGATCCAGAGCCTATCCTTTGTCCAACTGTGATCTGTCCATCTGGTATCTCCCAATCATCGCTTGAATCCCGTCGACCAAGAGTTTTCTTTATGTATGTGCAAAAACAATAAAAAGGAAGAAAACAAGTGCATTAGTGTCTCTGAAAACAGCTCCTTTGTTAAAAATTTCTCACCAGCATTTCCCATCATTAATGTCCTAAAAAGATGATCATTTTCAGATGTTGTCTTTTGACAGCCCAATATTGTGTAGGGCTAAAGTTAGCCCTACACAAAACCTTAGGACACAGGTATGCCAAATTATTATCTGGCATGAAACATTTGCAACAGCTTTCTGGCAGTGTTAAAACCAGAAAATACTAAGAAATGCTTACCAAAAAGTAAATAGTATTTGATGTTAAATTGTTAATTGTAATACTAAACTGAGAATTTTTTTTAAAGTAGATGTTTTTATGTTTTCATGTATCATTACATGAAAATTTGTTACATAGATTTGTTACTTTCAAAGTTTATGAATCATGGTGGGAAAAGTTAAGCTGTTACATGAAGGGAAAGTGGCATTACAGTATGTGGCACACCAGTAAAAGTGAATTTAGTCAATTATTTAAATTCTTTATATATCAGTCCCACAATTATTTATGGGTTTAAAGTGGCTTATCCCACTCTATTATTTATTGGTTTCCTTGATCACAGTCATATTCATCTTCAAAATAATTAATAAAACTTGGATGAAAGAGGAATATGGTTGTGTATTATTTCTACAAAAGAAAACAGTTGATCTTTCCCTTACCATTCGATTTCTGTCTTCTGAGGATGAGGATGATTTCCTTTCCCGTTGGGGTCCTGGTGATTTCTGTAATGCTTTCACATTGGTTAGTGACCCGGGCAAAGAAGCAGGAGGTGTTGCAGACAAGCCTGCAGCTGAGCCTAAATTTCAGAAATAGGATAGTTTTATCTGTAAGAATCCACATTACAAGAATGCATTGATATTAGCTGCAAGAATTGTGTTTAAGATGCAGTATCTCTAAACATCAATGTGAATGTTAAGAGAGAACAAACATATACAGGAATATTGTACTAATATTAGATTAGTGCTCATGTCTCAGATTTCAGAAAGAGACAAATCTATAGAGAACATCCCTGTATAGATAGTCTTCAGCCTCTTGTTCGTGAATTAACAAAGGACAATGTCTTTTTAACTAAGACAAAATACTTTAAAATGCATTTTTTAAATTCCATCAATTTCTTCGAGAAGAGCAATAGTATTTTATTTCACAGCATCTACCTGTGATATTCCTTGTAGATAAGCTTTTAGGAATCAAACAAATAGCTGAACTATTGTACTTTGGTATCAAAACAGACTAAACGCAAATAATTGGAATGTTTTCTGTTGAGTCTCCAAGTGCCACCTGGAAATCATTTGGCTGTTTTAAAGCTATCTGTTAGCAGAGAACTATTATTTAAAAACTAATATTAGACTTCAGAAAGGATTAAAAAAGAATAAGTACTTAAGTTAGCTATTTAAAGCATATTCTAGGAAACACAAAAATAACACTATGACTGTAGCCTGTAGGTTATCTAAACAAATCTATGCAGGAAAATGTTACTAAGAGAGCTGTTTCAGAGCCCCAGTGGCCCTTTTCAAATAGAGCACTTCACCTAGACACTGCTTTTTAAAATACATCACAATTATTCCTAACAAGGTTATGCTGACCCTTCCAATGCAAAGGACATAAAATAGGGTCAACTATTAATTAAATTCATGCTGCTTTGCTAAACAATGTATGTCATTGAACAAGACCTCTAACATTCCACTGCATTCTCTCACATCAGTGCTCTGGGAAGTGGTGGAAGACAATTCATGTTCTCTTCGAAACTCCTCTCTTAAGCAAAAAGTATCTCCTAATGGCAACTAGAGTTCAAAAATGGACTTAGTGACTTTAAACTGCTGCTGAAGTTCAGTCATTCAGTGCATGCTAATTTATCAGACTATATGTATCCATCGCTGGACTAACTATGCTAAAATCTATACACTTGGAAGTGGACACACAAAACTACATACCAACAAATACAAAATGGGACACAGCATCTGTAAACTGTCCCACATCATAAAGCAACAATAATGATGTATATTGGGCATCCTAACTACATTTATAAGCAGCTGGAAGCCAATGACCTGAAGGATGGGCTTGCGTTCATGTTACAGCCACCACATAACATTTATTTATTATATGATTCATCTGAAATCAAACATACATGGAATTAAATGTATGATGTTCCAAGAACATGAGCAATTTTCCAAAGGTTTACTGGGCTACAGATTTCCTCTGCAATGGCAAAGATCTGGGATGCATTTTCTTTGAGGTAACTAAAACCTCCTATTTAAATTTTAATACTGCAATATGGGAACACTAGCACAATATTCACCCTTCACCAAAAATGCACATGGCATTTCACTGTAGTTTCATGTTCTAGCACATGGCAGAATACTGTAGTTAATCTGTTCATAATAATACCAGATGGCCTGTTATTAGAGTAAAATACTTCAGATAATGCTGGATTTAAGTCAATAGCTTGGCCTCTGAAGCAGTAAGTAACATATTTCATTTTGCAGCCAGTTTGCTTGTTGGGAACACCTGTCTTCTTACAAAGACTTCTGGAAGATGTTGACAAGTTCAAAAGGTGAACTGCTCTTGATATATTCTGAAACAAGAGTCTTTGAAACAGCCAAGATGGTAGCATTTGAAAACCACACTACATGCACTGAACTAACCATTTCTACACATATTATGTAGAGACACAAGTACGAATATTTCATGCTATTACTCAATAGTTGGGTTTCTCCAGCATACGAAATCCCACAGAGTTTTTTTTTGGGATTTTGTGCAATACAACAGATCCATTGACAGCTCAAGGCCTGAATTACCCCCATGGCCAATGACATGCAAATCTAAGCGTCTTATTTTACAAAGTACAGGACAGAAATACTGTTTCAATCAAATTTACTAACTAAATAAAAACTACTAAAACCATCTAGAGCCCCGATGTGGTGTCACTAGCACACTTGTCAAAATGAAGTATTTATTGAAAGCCGACATGACACATTACTTGACAAGGCTGAGACCTAAGAAGATATCAATGGAAATGTTTGTAATTCACGTTAGATTTCCTACATCACTTTTCAAAACAGAGTATTAAATATAGAAGACCATTATAGCACTGAACTGACTTAAACTGAACAGTCAAGGAAATTCTAAGTTAAGGACATAATTTTATATTTAAGATCACTGCAATGCAATCCAATGTCCTTTGTTTAGAAAGATTATGTTAAGGTCCATGTTAAGGAAAAACCTCAACTATGAAATTCCTTGCTTTTGAAGATTTAAGTCAGACTTCATTTATAATCATTTTCAAGCAGGTAAAGGTGAAAGTGAGTATGTGTGAAAAGCACATTCAAAGCATTCCAGCCAGGCCAAGCAAAAAACAGAGGTGTTTTGATAAACTCACACACTTACATACACACGGTGTGAGGGTGAGGCACAAACAGCATCTGTGGTTTTACTTATTTTGTTTGGGTGAAAACAAGAAAGAAGAGCCCAACTACCTCTGAACACTGGGCCAGGCTCAAAATCAAACACTATTTCACTGGGGACAGAATGAAGGAGGGGACTGGGAGTCCGGGATTGGTATTTCCGAAGACAGCGCATCAGCTGGTTCAAAGGGGCTGTTAGAGAGAAAGAGACGGGCAGGCAGAGACAGAAAGACAGACACATAGAAGAAATGAAAGAAGTCATGGGAAATAACTAGGATGCTTTGACTCCTAATCATAGATTTCTTCTGTACTTTGAAGGAAAAAAAGTAAATTTCCAAGAACACAATTTCAGGACTGGAAATAGCCAATTGTTTTCAGATGCCAAGCAGACAGTTTATGATCAAAAGTTAAAACCAACATGATCGTACAACATTTAAATGTTGGACAAAATGGGCAAAACTCTGGAGAGCCACACCTATCAACACATATGAAAAATAGCTTAAATGGCAATTTGCAATTAGTATCTTGCAGGGTTAAAGGAAATTTCTTTCTTTAAAGTGCCTATTGCTGGCATTATTAAAGACAGCTCCATCAAACATAACACATCCTACCAAATACCAGATTTGCATGGGAGAAACAAAGTGAGTGAAAGTCCAGAGTACAAAACATTTGAGCTCAGGAAAGGGTGCACTATGGTAATTCAGACCCACACTTATGGCTGAAGCAAGTTATAATCAGTAGGAGATAACTGTGTTACTGATTTGGAGTTAGAAAAACTGTCATATGCCTGCCCTACTTAGTATTTCTCTATTTTCAATATTTCTGCTTTATTCTTATATTCATAGGAATAAATATAGCACATAAGAAGCCCTCTTCAGGACTTTGACAACCAGTGGGAGAAGCGACTTAAGAGGCCCGTGCATAACACGTGAAGAAAAATAAACCTTCTGGCACTAGTTCTGACTTAATTGTGAATTAGAGCAGTGAGTTACTGAAGGAAACATAAGAAGACCTGGCTTTAGTGTAAGATCCTAATAATTGCTTCCAAGAGTAGCACAGGCATGCAGTACAGCAAAGCAGCAACTTCAGCAGGGGTAGAGGGGGAGAAGAACCGGAGTATTTCAAGCTGCTTTAGGATGCAGCAGTTCCTATGGAAGGCACATCTACCACGATGGTTTTCATTGAAAACCCCTGTTGTTTCCACGAAAGGTAACAACAGACATGAAAATCTTCGGGAAGTTGTAGTGTACCTGTGTGCAGCCATGTGAGTGAGTAAGTGTGTGTGTGTGTGTGGGTGAGAGAAGAAGTAAAAAAGTAATTTTAAAACTAAAAAACTAGATACAACTTCAAAACTTTTTCTCCTTCTGTCTCCCCCACTCCCAGAATGACCAGCAAATGACTCAAGTCTTCGTGAAACAAATACTAAGTTCATGGACAAGCAAATGTAAATTCACTTTTTTGTTCTAGTCATATCTTGAATTGTGGCTGTGTTTTGTAGAATGAAGTAGGGTAATTGGAAGGGACAAAATAGTTATGTAATTAAAAGTAACACAGTAGTTAGTTTAAATGCTACTTACCTCCCTCTCCTCGTAAACTCTGGTCTCTAATCAAGTCCTATAAAAAATTAAAAAGCTGTATTTAATTTAGGTATTAACACTTACATTCTAGCCTCAAATGAGACTGATAGGTTTGTGAATTCATAGTGTCATATGTTGCCCATGAAATAAAAGTGGTTTCCTACCCTGACTTACTAATAGCAATGACTCAAAGAACTACTTTACTTCTCAAAATTAAGTTGCTTTAAAACAGCATCTCTCTGCAGTAAAGTGAAATGTACACCACCCAAAAGAGATGCTGACAATAAAATATTGACTTAAAAATATAGCTGGTCAAAACATAGAAATAAATATTGAGTAAAATGTTCCTATTACAGTTGCAGAAATGGTTTGAGTTGTCATATCAGAACCTTGGACATCAATTTTCTGTACTGAGGTACATCAGTCAAATGAATCCTGCTTTTATTTTTCTTGTAACAACACACCTGATTTGCATAGCCAGGCACACTGTTCTTCTCAGAAATTACTAACTGCAGAAGGCTTTCTTCACTTGCAATCCTCTGTGAGCTGAAACTATCTTTTGCAACGTGCCCAGACTAAAAGAAAACTACACTAAGGATTCTATAAACAGAAGGAGAAAATTCTAGTAGATTGCTTCTGTATGTCAATTTTTATAAAAAAAGCCTTTTTTGGATTACACTATTATGTTTATTCCCTTCTTGTTCCATAATTATATTTGTTCCCTTACACACCTGTGCTTTGCCAAAAGCCCTGGCTATGCCTCAGCAGCACCACTGCCATATACCACATGCAAATGCCTACATAGCCACTCTCTTAAAATTAACATTTCACCTTTCCCTCAGCTCACATGCAAAACTGATTTTGTGTCTCAGTGTCCAGGCAGATTTCAAGACTGCTCACCCAACAAATTACTAATTTCTAGAGAGCAGATTTAAGGATAAAATACGAACTGTGCATGTTAGCAAAGCTAGCAAAAGGGAACATCTTGAAAGGTCCTGTCCTTATGCTAATACCAACCATTATTATTAGTTACATTTCACCATCCAGAAGTTTCAAAATTGTGGAAAAAAACCTTAATGCAGCAGTTTCTGAACACTCCAAAGAAATGCTCAGAACAACATAAACTGGGCTCTTAAAACTCTTAGGGAACTATCAGAATATGTGAACTCAGCTTAGTTTAATTATTTTGTTTCCTTCAATGCCAAAATTATTACATGGAATACAAATACTAAAAAGTCTCTATTTTGTGTAACAGTGTGTTTAACACAGAATGGTTTGCAAGAGTGGCTACTGGCTACGGCTAACAGCATAAGCCTTGGGACTAATGGCAGGAAAAAAAAAAAGCAGTTGTTTGGGGTAGAATGTTTCTTTGAGAATGAAAAGGACAGAACTGTCAAAAAGCAGTTCTGCTTTCAGAGAAGGGATTATTTGTGTTCTTACACCTCTCAACAGTATAAAAGAAACTATTAAAAAATGAAAAATGAATGATCTTTGAAGATTCTGGCTGACCACTGAGGATCATTGTAGAAACATAGTGTACATTGTGTACACAATGAATTCAACACACTGATATTCACAAGGAACACATCACATCTACTGCTCCTGATCTAATGGCTAGCAATACTTACATCAATATTGACAGGCTCGATTGTATTGATGTGGACGTTGGGAGCTGAAGAGGATCGGTCACGTTGCCCAAATTGATTCCGATGGTCTTCATCTGCTGGTCGGAGGGGCTGTGGGATTGGAATGGATTTTGAAGGAGAAGGACTAGGGAGAATTGGTGGTCTGAGAAACAAAGTCAAGGAAAAAGAGGATTTAGGTCTATAAATGGCTTCAAACACTGCATAGTGGGTGTGGTAAGTCCTTTTCAACTATAATAATACATAACAAAAAACCTGATCTAAAGCCCTGAATTAAAACAATTCATAATTTACCATCTCTACTCCCCTATGATCAATTGCAACAACTCTCTGTTGTATCATCTGCCTGATCACATGGCTGTGAAGCCTTCTGAGTTAAAACAAAGAAAACTCTACCATACCATGTCAAACTACTAATAATAAATCCTGACCTGAAAAACTCATGCTGACCAACATGCATTGTTGATAGCAAGATACTCTGCAGTTTCCTCACCTCTGAGTAAATGCAATACACTCATTTTAACGGTAACCAATTGAGAATTCAAAATGCTTAACATCTCATATTAATGTTACAGTCAGAAAATGTCATAAAATAAAATGTATGAATGGGATTAGTTTTCAGCAAAGAGAGTAAAAAATACTTCTGGTCATTCAACCCAATTGATTAATAATTATGTATTACTGATACTAAAAAATAACATGGCCAATGTATCATTGATACAAAAAATAAACATATCACCCTTTAACCTCAACCTTTAAGAAACAATTTTGAATAGCACAACATTTCAAATGTTATTTACAGTGCTACAAAGCAATAGGTTTGACTGAAAAGTTAAGTGTTCAGAACACACAAACAAGCTTCCTGAAGAAATGCAAAAACTGCCAGTCATAAATGTAGATAAAGCCTTTAATTATGGTATAATGAATTGAATATTCAAAAGATAAAACAACTGAACACTTGAATTTTTTGTTTGTAAAAAGGCAGAAAGTAACTTCTTTGGTTATCCATTAATTTTGTTGAAGTGCAATGAACTGGCAATTATCTCTTACCCTAGTCAAAGTCAGTCACTGTTAAGCCTAATGATTCAATCTAATGGATGTAAGGCAAAAGGCTAATGAAAGCTCCTGCCAGCTTTTTCAAAGAAAACTTTATGGCAAAATATACACGGTATCTGACAACAAGGTTTTTAAGAGTTGGTTTCTTTTTCTAAGTTCTAAAAGAGGAGGGGAGTCCTCCAGCCATTCCATGACTCATGGATTAATTATCAAGCCAACAAAGGCAATGCCCACAGGGAGAGGCTTCAGAAACAAAATAGACAGCAGCATATAGCAGCAATATGTCCTGATGCCACCTCCTGTAAGCAGTGCTCCTTGGCCTCTTCAAAAACTTTTGGGGAAACTAACATTTTCAACAGGACATCTGTGGTATTCCTTAAAATCATAGGGTTTTGGGCACATTGCAAAAGGCAGGCCTCAGAGACAGCAGGATGGCGATTAGAGCTAAGCAGTAGCTATAAGATTTGTTAGCAGAAAAATGATACAAGAACTAAAAAGAAAGGACAAATAGAACAATGATCTGTGTATTAACACTTGGGTAGAATAACTACCTAAGTTGCAGAAAAGTATATCTGCTGAGATATTAGGAAGTTTTAAGCTTAGAAATGGAGCTCTGTGCATTGTATGTTAAGGCTTACAAGCAGGTATTGTATTTGAAATAAGCAAGCACTGTTTTAACCAAAGGTACGTGTGCTTATAGTGGTTAGACAGAACTAATTGTCAATATGCTTTTGCTTTGTGTGATTGGTCAAAAAGCTTTTAAACTAAGTTGTAACACTAAGTTCTTAGTCTGCTGCCTAGGATGTGAACTGCTGGCGTCTTCCCATTGTCATAACCATGTAATGAGACTAATGCTAAAAAATAAACAGCTCGAGATGCATACCTCAGCAGTCTCATCCCGCTCGTGATTTGTACATAAGCCCCCCAGCCAGTGATAGATGTCTTGCCATCTCACAATTGAAAATGGTAAAACAGTGCTTGTGAATTAATTCAAATAACAGTCCAGTAAGTCTTCCAAAGAAATACCTGAATATGTTATGGAAGTGGGGCAGGATAGAAGAGGCAGGGGGTTTAACCCTGCAAAAAGCAGTTACCTACTGTCACATGACAGTATAGATATTGGGAAGATACTGGCAAGCAATGAACTAAAACTACCAATAGTCAAATCTCTGACAAAGGGCCTCGAAAACCCCAGCATTTCAGAATTTATTATTTCAGAATTATTTTTTCTTAATGCAGTTGTTGTACATACACATAAGCTGAAGTTTTCATTCACTGCTGTGCAAGTACCTTCAGGTAAAATATTGCAGATGAGGAAGTTTTGAACTCCTGAATGTGTTTGTAAGTAAATCATGTGAGTAGAACAAAAAGCAGGAGATGGGACACTGCACACATCCCAGTGCAGGATTTGACTGACATTTACAGGCACTCCATTCTCATGTTAAGGCAAGCGTGTCAAATGCTGCACAAAAAAAGTATCAGAAGAAAACTCTAACAAGTGTCTAAACCAGGCCAGTACTGTCATTGCTGAGATAGCTAACTCCTGCTTAAACTTCCTGGGATTCTCAGGTAATAAGGAAATTAAGGGATGTATATCACAAAACCCATCAGAACATTGCACCAGGACTGACTGTGACACACCATCTGAGCTCTGCCACATGACAAAAACAGAAGCAATCAGATATTCTGTGATCATGAGTAAGCCAAGGGACAGAAAACCAGATTGAGGCAATATTGTTTTAATTACATCCTCCTTTGAGTCATAAATGGTCATCTGCTACTTCTGTATTTCTGGTCACAGGTCATCGTGTCCATCACGTTGCTAACACAGCATGCTACACCATACCATGTTTGAAAACAACTTGAACAGCTTTTTCTTCTCATTAAATTCTTATTGGGGGAAGTCCAGATCTTTAGAAAATAATTGCAGGCTGATAAAGAATTATCTCTGGGCTTTAGACAACAAAGAATCCAGAGATGGGAACCTCATAAGCAGTTATTAATGGGTGTCCTTGAGACACTTTGAAAAATGTAGGTTATTTCTGATAAATGGAATTTTTTCTCGAAAAAGATAACTAGTAAAGTAAAAGAGACAAGGGGTTTGCTTGCTAGACTACTGAGATCACAAGCTCAGAAAAATATTACCACCAGCTTCTGTCTCTGTGTGGCAAACGCTAGATCTTGATCAGCATCAAGATCTTGTTCTATCAAAATCATGTCACCACGAAGAATGCAGTGATCCTCTGATCTACCAAAAGGCTGTTCCTACAGTATTCCTACACTGAAATTACTCAAGAGGAGGTGATGTGACACTGGAGCTAAAAGGGCCAGATATCATCATTTGGAAAAGGGTGACATGGTCTATTCCAGGCCAGTTCCAAAATTGTTCTTAGTTCTTAGGTTATGGAAGCATAGTGCTGACAAAACACACTACAAGACAAACAAAAAAGTCCCAAAAACCAACCAAACAAAAAGTCCCCCAAAAACCCCAAACACACCTAAGAAACTTAAAGCAAAAAACCAATCCTCACTCCCCAAAAAATAACAGGCTGAGGCTTAAAGGAACATGCAGTTTGAATATCAGGATCTGAGTTTCTGTTGCTCCTGTGACCTTTGTGAACAGTTTACAGCCACCTTGCTAAAGGAGACTTTCTACAAGGAAGCAGATAAATAACTTTCTCCCAGCCTCTGAGAGGTGGGCACTCTTTTAACAAATTATTCTCGGCTTCTAAGGCAACAAGCTGATGTTGCCAAATCTCAATCTAGTATGTTATAACCTTTCCTGTCAGTATGACAGAACATGATTTTACCTTGGACCACATGTTTGGGATTAGTACATTTTTCCCTCCCTTTTAATCAGACAAAACAGAAAGATGTTTTATCAGTAAACAAGAATAACTGATAAGAATAACTTATACCCTTTACCAAGCATAGCAAGTGGTCATGTGTCCACAGATTAACTATCCCATGAAACTGGGTCCACAAGAAAGGGTAAAGTAACTCAGAAACGAGTCTGCCCATGTTATGCTATATATAAACAAACTATTTTATAAAATCATATACAGTATGTCTATTGGATTTTAGAACTTGCAATGATATGACTATGTTGACTTTACAAATGCAAAAGAAAATTTTAATATAGATTTTCCTCAATGTCCTTTACTCACCAATTGATGCCTCATAAGTGTTTAAGAACTGGTCTACGCAGGAAAGATTTTTCTTGAAATTTTTCTTATGATAGGTGTATTTGGGCTTCAAGTTTTTGTTGACTGTATTTCAGTTTTGCTGTACTTGAGCAAACGCTTGAACTGAAAATTCACATTCACCTAGCTTCAATTATAAGGTGTGCACCTGTTCCTTTTTAAAATGACAGAATCTCTCCAGGACTGAGATTCTTCCTCCTCCTCACACCCTGAACAAGTCCATCTCAGTTTAGCCACTGGGCTCAGTGCTGCACGCACTATTTACCTGTAAGGCTGCACACTCATATCCAAACCTACTGCAAGCTAAAATGTGCATCAAGGCTTATTTTGGATTGTTTTTGTTTATATCAGAGTGTTAACACCAGGATTTGGTTGTTGTTACTGTTCTTAATAAAGAACACATTGCCCTTCCAGTTCCAAGCAGTTTCTAAGGACTGCTAAGGATCTGGGACACAATGGTATTTCAGTGATAGTAGCAAGCAGGTAAATTTAAATTGTGGAGGCCAAACAGGTTCTGATTTGACTATTTAATTATTTAATCATTGCCAGAAAATCTAACTTTTTTATTTCTTCCCTCATCCCTGCAGCTTGGAAATACTCAAGAATCCCAAATTAAATGCCAATTTGTACAAAGAGCAATACCAGTTTGTAACTACAAGCTAAATATCTTTCTTGCAGCATTCTCAGAAGTCAGCCTAGAAGCATCATGGGACAGATCTGTAAGTCATTACCTTACACAAATTAGTGCAGGTGAAAAACAACTGCCAAGAGTACCACAATGGTGTGTACTCATTTATAATGGCCTTTCAGCCCAGATCAAAGCTGATGAGCCTAAAATTCCTGACAGCTTCACATACCAGAGGTTATCAAGACAACCACACTGTCACTGTTAAGACCTCCAGACCAGGTCCAGTTCACCAGCAGGTTTTTGCAAATAAAGTTTTGGACAGCAAAAGGTTTCCCTCACCTGCTGTATGGACTGAAAGTTTTCTGATTCTGATTTAAAGATTCTGATCCCAAACCTTTTCTGCAAAGGAAGATTGCATATCAACTCAACTTGTATATTGTAGGAATACTGGGAATATTTTCATGGAGAAACCTGGAAAAGGCTTAGTGCCAGAACTTTTAGGCGAAAAGTTCACTGTTTTATGCATTAAAACACAAAGCTTTTGCTCACTCACACATCACAGGGTTTAAATGGCATTGTAGCATAAAATGTAGTATTTTAAGACTGTATCTTGGCTTCTGTGGCTTTTCAGAAGCTTTTCTAGACATTCAAGTATCTTGGGCTGAAGCAGAATGATCAGTGAACATTTGGAAGACAGAAAGGAAAGCAGAGGTGTTTAATCACAAGCTGGAGCCTGCTCAAAGGCAAGGACTGGCAAGCTTCCAAGAACAGTGCACCAGACATTCCCCTTTTCTTCCTCCAACTTAGAAGACGAAGCATATTGGGAAATGTTGTTTTTCAAAGAGCCAAGATGTTGCCAACTTGCCTATTTCTCTTTTTCATGTATCTGAGACTGAGGGAACTGGGTTCACAGAAATTCTGTGCTTGTATATCTCAGACGGAGGAGAAACTTCATGACAGTGCAATGAACGAAACAAATACAATGTCTTGATAGACAGTTTCCTTACTTCAATTTTATTACAAATGGCCCTTAGCAGGGAGACCTATGCTTTTCTTTCCAGTTAACTGCAAATCATAACTAAAATGGTTGTTTTGGCACAATAGAATATTGCAAATGTCAAGAACTAAAATGGGACACAAAAACTAACATGGAGGCCGGACACATTTTATAAAGGGTTCAGAAATGTGAAACAGAATCATATGTGCTCCCACATCTTGGCGTGGAAAACCTGAAGGGACTGCCTGTGGCTCACAGCTGGAAGAATGAAAGGCTACAGGCCTGGATTACTTTAGGATGTTACACACAACAGAAGTGAAACAGTTCTCCAGCATGTTTAGCAGCTTTTGCATCATGTCCAATGGTCTTTTCCTCTATGTCCCTTTCTCTTTCAAAGTTTTCCATTTGCTCCCATTGCACACTTTCGCTCTTGAACTTGTCTTGCAACACCAACTTCCTTCTTCTGGGCACTTTGCCTGCCACTGGGATCCCTTCACAAGGCTAGAGATGAAGAAGGATGTTTGCCTTCTCTTTCCTCAGGTTTACCAAACAATCAGTAATATCCCTTCCTCCGTGAGCTGTTCCATGCAAGATGCTAGAACAGAGAATCAAAGGAACAATTACTAATGTAGGGAGTGTTATTAAAGCACTAGTTCCTCATATTTTTCCATCCCACTGTTCAGCTCTCAAATTTCAATCCCATATTCTCCTCCCAGACAAGATAAGCTCAAATGTCAACCTATTTTTTAATTCCAGTTGAGCTGCTGTCCCATATTGTAACAGTCCTCTTTAATAAAAACACAGGTGAGTACATGTTTTTATAGAAAAGGCTAGCTTTTTAAATTCAGCTAGATTAATATTTCCACAACTATGTTCGTAAAAAGCAGAGATGTATGATTAAAGAAAAACATGAAAGATAATTAGAAAAAGGTATGGACAGTGCTGTATGCTCATCCAGTAAAATTGGAGCTACTTCTGGAAAGGAAATACTACATACACAGATGCTAGGGGAACACTGTATGATTAACATGCATATTACAGATGAACACCAGCTGATAATCATAAACCATTTTCAAAATGAAAAGAATTTTGCAGGCATGATGTCTGCCTTTTTTTTTTATCAATAAAGTGCACAACAAAGTAAAAAAGCAAAATGGAGAAAGCTAGAAACCTTTTATATCCTCTGCAATTGCAAACATTTATAGATGCAACCCTTGAGAAAAGCTCCTAAACAGCAATTAGCAAGTGTATTTAAATGTTAACATTTTTATATATGTGAAGTTTAAGATCTCAAGGCATTAGCCAGCTTTGGTCTCAAGTTCTTTCTTTCTGTTTTCACTTCACAAAACAAAGACTGCCTGAAGTAGCTGGTGAGAATGGACCAAAGTGAGGCAAAGGCAATTGAAAGGCAGGACAATTTAGAATATTAAGATTAGGGCTATATAGTGTTTTTGACATACACTAGAGTTTAACACAATTGGTATGAATAAGTTTCTTCATGAATTAATGCTCTAGATCAGTTACAATTTTGGCTGTAGCATGACAAATACTTGACAAGCAGCCTTGCCCACAAGGTGCTCTACTAATATCCATGGGATCTAAAGGAAACATTCACTATCTTGGAAGAAGTACTTTTGAATTCACTTGAACCTGCATGAAATAGAACAAGTAAGAACAAAATCTTTGTACTTACCAAGTGAGGTTCCCTCTGCAGGACTGTCAGTCTGTTTTCCTGGGAGGCATTTTATTTGGTCTTCCATAAAACAGCCTTGGCTGTCCAGAGAATTTATCTTCTAGTTAAGAGTCCAGAGGTGCCTGCATAGCTTCCAGTGTGTTTCTGCTTTAGTTGAGGCACAATTTTCCCTAATCCAAGACAGCCTCTCTGCCACATTCAGCTCAACTCCACACAGCACACATGTCCAGGGAATGGTTTTCTGAAGGTTTCTGTATTTGGTATTCTTAATAAATATGCACCAGATTTCTTGAGTGTGACATAGATCCCTGAATTACTCTTCCCTGGACATTTGTTCAACTACCTAATGGTGGATGGTGTAATTGATCTCTTTGCTACTGGGAACATAATTTAAATATGGTCTCTTAATGCAGAAAGGGTCCAGAATGTTTGTTGAAAATGGCGAGTTTTAGAGGTCTACTTTTATAAAACCTGGAGCTGCAGCAACAGATGCTACTGGCATACCCCAACAAGAACAGGAAGACAGTTGGTCTGGAGGATACTAAAGCAGTGTATGTGGAAAAGCTGCTAAAACAGTATTATGAACCTGGAACTGGCACCTGCTCTCATCAGCCTTGTAGTAATGTGGTTTATTCTCAAACTGACACATCTCACTTGAAAGCATATAAATTATAGTTTAATGAAAACTAAAAGAATTTGTGAGGATATAATTTTGGTTTATATCAATTTTAAGTATAAAATCTTTCCAGTTTAGACCAGGTCTAAGCTATTATGTAGAAGAAATCAGTTTAACAGGTAATACCCCAACTCTACAGACAGTTACACACACATTTAACCTAAGTTCATTACTAATTTAGAGAATTTGTGTGAATGAAAACATTCACTTCTTGTAAGTTAAGCATAGGTGGATATATTTGCCTGAGAAGCCAGATTACAAAAATGCAGAGCTGCAAAGCAGTACTTTGAGTGTTTCTTAGCACAGTACTGAAAAGTTATGTTATTAAACAGCAGGAATAAGTTCATACCCAACAGAATCTGAGGGGGGCACTGAGGGGTATGATCCAGATGCTGGGGTGGTCTCTCCTAAGGAGGCCTCCTCTGGTGGTATGGGGTGATGTTCAAAGAACTTGGAGACAAACAGCAAACTGTGAGGCAAGAACAAAACAAAAACAACCTAACTTGTGCAAAACCCAGAAGTTTCACAATATAATACTCAAAATCTACAAAAAAGACCCCAAACCCCAAAATCCCATTGATTAAATTCTAAATTTAAAAACAAAGATCACACACATTAAATCTGCAAGATATGTTAAAAGTATTATTTACTTCACAGAGGATCAAAAGATCATGCCTTAAATATAAACTCTGTGTAAATTCATTTTTTGATCTTTTACATGGAATTGTAAACACCTGGTTCTTCAAGAATGCAATATCTATCAGCACATAAACTTATACCCTGAGCACAAACACCAGAGATGCCAATGGAAAGTTACAAATACTAAAATAAACTGAAATTAAATTCATTCTTCATGAGAAAAATAGCATTTTAAATTACTCCTTATACAATAATCTATTTAAAAGACTTAATAGCCTCTGCTGAAACTAATTAAATAGAACAGACCCAGTTTACACCAGATCCTAAATCTACATCAAAGACTGACACAAATAGTTCAGTAACTCAATCCAAGAACACTGGACTGTTTGGGTCATTCTCTTTTATGTTTCTTACCTAAGCATTAATCTTGCTACCGGATTTATTTTCAATTATTGTAAAACCAACTGCAATTTCACTATAATCAACTAGTGTCTCTTAACATTTTTTCAGGTTGAAGAGAATAAACCCACAGCTAAATTTTAAACACTGCCCTAGCCATCGCACAATACAGAACTAGTTTTGATTAATAACAATGGTGAACAATGAGTAGTCTGTCTGATACAGTCAAGTGCTCAGCAACCCTATTCATGCTTCAAAAAAAGCACTTCCTAGACCAGCAAAGAAATATGAACTGATAGTCTGAGCTAGCACAGTAAGAGTATGAATTAAGCAGTCTCACAAGAACAGTTGAACCCCTATTTTTTTTTTTTCAGACACCTCCTCTGACTTCCTGAATTACAGATTTAACACAAGGAATCACTGACAGCTGTACACTTGTTAAAAGGCTCAACTTGAAAATCAATTGTGATTACTTACTCAAGTTGGTCATAATTAACGCACATCAGTGGCACTTCTGTACTACAGCGCTGGTGAAATTTGTAGCCACAGGTCTGGCAGCGGAACCCCTGGAAAAGCAGCTTCCGACAGAAATCGCAGAACGCTAACGTGAAGAACGTTTTTCGTACCTACATTGTCAAACATAGTCACAATTACCTACACTCCTTCTGTAAACCAGATAGGCTATTTGCTTTTACCTCCCTCAAGTGTACTTAAAAGTCTCTTTTGTGATAGTGGAGCTACAATTTTACATATCAAACAGATTTACATGAACGATCAGCTCCTTTTTGAAACAGTTTTCATGCATTACAACATTCTTTCAACTGTTTCTTGGAACTAATGCTTCACTTCCCTAGCGGTAAGAATAAGAGCAAAGAACCTGAAGCAAAACTTCACTATTATCATGCTAGACACAAACATTGAGAATTTATTTGGATACAACCTATAAAACCAAAAGCTACTGAAATATTATTTCATTTTCTAACTTTTCCAGAAGCCAAAGAACATTTCTATCTCATACTCACAGGACTAGAAATACACAGGCATACATACATATATATATAGGGTTTCAATGCATGGTCACACATATAGTTGCAATTTTGACTACTGAAACTCAGAAACATTCAGAATCACAGAAGGGTGATCATGATATCTCCCCAGATTATAAGGGGGGAATGATTTAGTTAATTTTCAAATTTAGCAATACCTAGTATAAAAACACATTCTTAGTTCTATTATTACATGTAATAATCAGAATTTCAATGACATATAAAAACTATCCATAACCCAAACAGCCTGCTTGAGCTAAATAGGTTGAAACAGCTTGCAGATAGAATTTGCTATGTTTTAAACTGAAATAGAAGGTCCTTCTTTCCAATGTGACAAACACTATTCCCAGGATTTCGTATGTAGCTGGAAACATTTAGACAGATTCTGTTTAGCAGCTTCCATTTACTTGGTGCCTTATCAGGTCAAAACATATTTGTGCACTGCATCACTGATGATGTCAGCACTGCTCTGGGAATAGTTAGTTCATTAGTTAATTGCTGCTGCAGAGCCAGCAGGGAGGCCCAGAATACATTTTATAGATACAGCAATACAAAAATAGTAGATTATTACAGCTCTGCAATGCAGTACTGATATAAACCCTTACATTTATAGATTTTAGAGGGTGTATTCCAACAAAACGTGAAAGTTTTAAGGGCAATCAAGTATTCTAGCATCACTTATTTCCAATACAATTCTATCTAATTCACTTAAGCTACTGTGATTAAAAACTTCTTTTGCAACTCCCACCACATCCCACAGATGCAAAATATTTCAAGTTGGTAATTTGAATTTGAAAGCATGACTATATTGATGCAACCCCATGCAGCATCTCACAAAACCCAGTACATACGAAATTGTGTGTCGTGAGTGGCACGTTCTCCAAAACTTCCACATGTAGCTCCTCTCCCGTGAGCCAGGAAATGTCTGTATCCCAGCCAATTGGCTTCTTCTCTCTGAAGTGCAAATAAGCCTCTCATTAGCATCAGCACACAAGCCCTTGCATACTTCTTGCCAAAGTTGTAAGATCAGCTAAAAAGTTACACTGTGGGGGTTACTACCCAGCCTAATTGCAGGAAACTTTAGAACAAGACCTTAGGCTCAGTACATAGCAAAAAAAGCACACCTTCCCTGGCCAGACTGCAGAAAGGAAATGCACTTTTTCAACTAGCTCCAGTAGTGGCCAATTCCTTGTTTCCTATGTGGCAGATGGCTTTTTGATCAAATAAAGTGCTTGTGAAGGTAACTGTAGTGTAAGAGTTCCACAGAGATGGCTAATTGTGTACATGAAGATAATATACAAATTTTCAGGACTGAAAACTCTTTTTTTCCTCCCAAGAGAACTCTGTCTCTAGTTAAGACTGCATTATAGCCAAATGAAATATAACCAAGAAGTTAACACAACCTATTTATTACTTGTTTGGTTAGCATGAGTTTGATTTATGAGTGTTTTGCCATAATCTCATATTACTCAATATTATGCCTGAGCCTTTTCCTAGGAGTTAGCCATTCTTTTCAACCTGTCTGCAATGTGCAAATTGTTTAGTGCAAAGTACCATAAGATTCTGAACTTGGTAAACAACTTCTGAATAGAACTGGCCATCCTGGGTAGCTCCAATAATTGATTCTAAGAGCAAAAAAGCATCCCACACAAACCATACCTATCTTGTATTCTGTAAACAGCACAACATTCTGGAATAAGACCTCTCATCATCAGCGCTTTTTTTAGGCTGTCTCGGACTGTCACTCCACATCTTGCTGGAACCTAGAGGCCAAATACAAAAGAAATTAGTTATAACAATTTCCAATTTATCCCCTAAAACTGAAACAAATATTTTGACCCTCAAATACTAAAAACCCACTCTTCAGGATGCTTTACAGAATTGTAGGTCAAAGTTTTCCAAAACCCTTTTTGTACCAAGAAAAATTTTATTGCTGAATAGTATATGAGGAAAAAGGCTCAGCTAGAAGAATCAACAAGCTCTACACATCTACTAGCATTTGGAACAGAATCTTCACTCAACTCCAAAAGTGAATTTCCAACTTTCTTAACTGGAAGAAATTGGAAACACAGCACACAGAGAGCCAATAACTACACACAGCTTTAATTTTACAGGCTGGCCTGAACATAAGTGGGGAAACATGCCAAGTGAAATTAAGTGAAGGAACTAACTTGGACAGCACTCAAAAAAAAAATTGCGATAAAATGTAAATATTTTATTTTATATTTCTAAAACAGAAGATAAGCATGCAAACAAGTGAAACAAAACAGACATCTGAGTCAGGCAGACCATCACCTCTCACTTTAACCTATATTTGTAACTCTACAGATACATCTTATGTGAAAATATATTGCTGTCTTCTGTTTCCTGGCTTGAAAAGTTTAGGTAACTAACAGGATGGGAAGAATGGAGAAGTACATTAAAACTAGCCAAATCAAGAACTGCATACTATGTAAAGGCATTTTCCTCACTTCTATTCTAATTGTAGGCATATTTTATACAAGTAAGTAGATCATCTCTAGGTATACCTGTGATTTAACAGTATATAGTGTCAAGCCATAAAAAAGAAAAATACATGACCTGGTGATTAAGGGTAGTTCAAGTATTGAATATTATGCACTGTTTTTAGAACTCAGTAGTGAAAATATGTAGGGCTTCAGGCACTGTACACACTGGGATATCTCCTATAATCATGGACAGTATCTCAAACACAAATCAAAAGAAAAACATAGAAACTTAACAAACATGGCAAGTCTGTCTGAACACCTGAAACTCAAATCTAGCTTGCAAGTGGCTTAAGCCAGTGCACTCAATAGCCAAAAGCAGTCTTTTAATCAGCTTCAACTGGCTTGGGATGGGAGCCTAGTTTTTGTTCCCTGCATTTAAATTTCCATGGGTATTTAGGGGCTCTATGTCCTATTTAAGCATGACAGAGCAAAGTAGAGCCTGTTTCAAGTAGCTTTGTGAACACAACTTGAGGTTACGCTACATACTGCATTTCTGGAACTCAAACATATGCACTTTCAGAAGACACAAATTAAAGGAATATTTTGCTTCACCATCTTCCTCCCACATGAGAGGGCCTCTTTACAGGATATTTGTGCATTTCATCTGGTCAACACAAACATTTAAAAAAGGATTATTTTTCTGAATTCCTTGAAAAAAAATCCTACAGCACACTACTTTACAATCTTGATATTCAGCCTTAGGTTACTCTGGTTTACACATTGTATTCTTTTTTAATGCATCCTTTTATTACTCTAAGTAACCCCTTAGAAAGGAATTCCTCTCCTTTTTCCAAGGATGGAGGGTGTGACTCACATTCTTTCATACAAATGTTGAGTCTAAATTATTATTGTTGTATTGATACAGAAAAACATGTATTAAAGATTGGTCTTGACCTGCAAAGGTGATTAGAAATTTTAAGTGAAGTTGTATTATAAATTTTGTATTATGTTACTTATAAATTGCACAACATTGATTCTGCTTGTAGAACTCATGTGCCATCCTAATAATAAATTCTGTGCTATGCTAATCATAGTATCTTATTAAGAAAATAACTCTTTAATTGTTCCTATGATTTAGTGCCATCATCATTCTGCCAAAGATCCCTAAGAGAACCTGTCTGCCCCCTCAGTGTCCTTCTCCTTGCCTCCAACATATATATTTACAAATAGAGAGTAAATACTTTTAAGAATCGGACTAAAGTCTCTGAGGATTTCAGGTGTGCTCCAACCTCCCACACCCATTAGATCCAATCATGAGCCATTTCGATGGAGGAAGCAAGTGTTCTTCAGCTCAAGGCTATTTTTCCTCTAAGTATAGCTCCTGCTGGATTGAGGTTGACAATCCAGGCAATTCAGGTCTGCCTTTCCAGCAACCTCAGTCATTTCACCACTGATATCCACAGTGGCAGAAGAAACTGAAATACTGCAAAGGTGTCAGACAGATGAAGGGGGCAAAAAAGGGAATGAAAAGAGTCAGGAAAGAGATTGGGCATGAAGGAGAAACGGGAGGAGAAGGCCAGGACAAACTTCAAGAAATGAACATGCAGGGAAAGCATGTGAGAGTATACACATGAGAACTGTGATCAGCAGGTTGGTGGGAATCAAACAAGCAAGACAGAGGGAGGACAGACTGAAAAGCTGAGGCTAAGGGCAGGAAAAAAAGATGTGATGAACCACCTTGCAGAGAGAACTGTTTGCCAACACCGGGGGAAGTACTGGAAGTACGTCCTGAACAGGAAGCTTTCAAGCTGTGATTGGGAGAAAAGGTGGCTTTGTTTTGGACAAGGACCATCAGGGAGAAGGAAGTGCCTAAGAGCAGCAATAGAACCCAGCACAGAGTAGGAGGTTCTAGCTTAGTCAGAAAACTCCAACAGAGTTAAGTATTAAAAGAAACCAGGTTAGTAGAATCTTGACCTGTGTCAGGGAGTGGAACAGGAAAAGGAGGAAAAGTCAAGCAGTAGGAAGATGACTAACATTAAAGAAGAGATAAGCAGTCTTGTGGATACTGGAAAACATTTTCTTTCTCCAGAACTGATCCTCTATAAATGATCACAACATCCTCCAGTAACGCATGAAGCAAAGAAATGCATCAGGAACATCAAAGTTCCAATGCTATTAAGTAATTACACTGGTCTAATTTTTTTTCCTTTAAATTTTGTCAAAATTAAGACTTACGAAGTTACAGAGCTTCTTTCAAGAGGTTACAATAAAGTTGAAAATACAAACTCTCAAAATTTGGGAAGTATCAGTATTAAGGTTATCTACAGCAACAAAAGTGCAATGAGACTATGAAAAATGTACATTAAACATCCTACTCACTAATCATTTGGTATTCCTCAGTATTGTTATCCCAAGTCCCCTTCATTAAAATCCAAGTCATATTTATGCAACTTACAATTAGAAACATGTGTACAGTATTTGTTCTCTTTACTGCCATTTGCTTCAAGACCCAGCTAAAACCCAAAGAACTGTTTTTGTTGCTTTCATAAACCATCACGATCCTGAATCAGCATCACATTTAGAACATTCTCTTACAGAACTCCCGAAGAGAGAAACATAAAGCCAAATTAAAAGAACTTAGTGCTAGAATAAGTCCCTGTAGTATTGATTAATCATTTTGCCAGACTGGTACAGCACTGCCTATCACCATCTGTGCATGCAGCCCTTCAGCCCCCTCTGTCAGTCCCAACTACTGCCTGCTGCAAAGCAGAAATCTCACCCTGCAAAGCACTCCTTCTGAAACCTCTTCTTGCCCTGATCTTCTTTTCACCCCCAAATTATGGCAGAGGTAAAGAAAAAGCTAGTTCCAACAGAATGATTTGGAGACCAACTCAGTCTTTAGAAAAACAAAAATGAACACCAGTTCTCTTTTTCTGACTAACAGACTCCTGCTGACTCCAAAGCAGGAGTTTTGGAACAGCTTCTCTCTCACCCCCAGGCAGAGGGAGGGTGTGTGGCCCCCAGGCTGGTAGGGGAGCGGGGGGGCAGGAGCCCCACATGGTGCAGCCCCCGAGTGCCTGCCAGGAGCCAGCAGCTCCAGCACAGCACCAAGTCACCAAGGAGGGTTTATCAATTCCATCAAGAGTTTTGCCAGGATTCCCACAGAGCATTTCAACTGAATCACATCAGCATTTTTTAACAAAATCAGTTCCCCAGGAGAAAATTTCTCATCTGCTCCAAAATACACAGTACTCTTATGCCTGCAACCCAATAAACTGAACAAAGTTGGCAGTCTATTGAAACATAGAATGTTTGCTATTATTTAAAATCAGATTTTTTGCACTGATCCATTATCTCTTAACCCCTCTGTTTTATAACTAAGAGAATTCAATTGTTTCATAATGGTTTCCACCTAGAAACTCATATTACTGTGCTAGGGGACATACTTCTAAATTGTGATTGTTAAGGGCTTTCTTTTTAGGCTACTTATATATAGAACATTTGTAGATCAGAGAAGGCTTAGGTTTTTATAGCAATTAGAAAATTGATTCAGCAAGCCACTTTAAAAAGTTAAGAGTATGAAAGTGTGGGCTATATAACACTAAGAAACAGTACAGAAGCTGCCAACACAGACTGCAAGGTGTGTTCAGTGTGTAGATTAATAATATACCAGACAAGATAATTTACTTGAGCATCCTAAATTGGGTAAGTAGCAATTCAGGGTGACACCAAAACACATGCTTAAGTTTGCAAATGTTAAGCCCCAAGGAAAAAAAAACTGAAAATCATTCCAGATTGCAGAAATTCTCAAAGCAGTCCTACTACCTACCTAGACAGATTAAACAGAACTATGTCCCTTAATGTCCTCATTTCTTTTACTCACCTGAACTATTTCTAGGGACAGTAAGTATTTGTAACAATATTATTGATATATATTTAGTACTGCAGCCACAAGTATTTAAGCCATGCATAATAAATCATTTATTTCTGTAAATCAGGTCATTCCCAATTCAGTAAGAAATTCAGGGCTACGTCCCTAAATAACTCTTACATCACTTTTCTAACATCAGACTAGAAACTGGCATAGTCTCAGTAAGCTAAAAATGCTTCCTTACACCACTGTAGTTTCCAATGTTTTAAAGCAATAAAGAGACTGAGAAGCATTCCAAAAAAGCAATGCAAAGGTATTCTCTGGAAGTAGAAAGGCTGGTCAGCCCTGAATATCCAGTATTATACTTCTCAAAACTAGTTTGCTGGATTTATTTTCCCCTCAGCCAAACACTGTAATTCAGCTCACTTTGGCCAAGTGTAACATA